AGCAGCTACAGCGTAGGGACCGCCGCAGCCCCAAGGAAGGGCATGGTGGTGGTGCTGCTGGTGGTAGTGGTGGTGGAGCGTACAATGTTTCAATCGAGGGGGTTGGGGCTGGTGTCCAGGAACACCAGCAGACACAGCAGCAACAGCAACCGCAGCAACAGCAGCCGTGGGCCCGCCTCCCGCCGAGGTGGCCAGGAGCCCCAGGAGGTGGTGGCCACCTTGGCGGTCCCCACAGCTCGGTGTCTACCGGCGGCTTCGGTGTTGTGGGCTGCCAGTACCAGCTCCAGAATAGGCCCCTTTGTGGCACAGTGTGCCGCCGCCTGCACCCGACCGCCCGCTGCTTCCGCCGCCTCGACGACCTCTTCTGTCGCCACTTCGGCTCGGCCCCGGACCTCCCTGACTGGCCCACTCTGCTCCGTCACGGTGTGCCTGTGTTTGACTTAAACATGGATCGGATTATTTCTGCCTTGCATTCTCTGTATGCTGGCGCTTCTAGTGTGTCCGGATCTTATTACCCTGTGTTCTCTAGCTTAGGCTAGCACCTGTGTGTAGTACAGATTCCCCTGGTGCGTCAGGCGTAGGACCGTTTGCTTTGTCTAGCCTAGGCTCTACCTTTGGTCCTCCTTCATCTATGACTACTGCTTCGCTGTCCTTCACACTTGACTCGAGTGCGTCTGCCTGCTTCTTCCGCGACCATGCTACTCTCACGCCGCTCGCTGCCCCTGCCTCTGTCGCCCTTGCTGACCCAACTTCTGGTCCTGTCGTTGCTCGCAGCTCCACTACCCTTCCCTGTCTAGCGGCCCCCTCGGGTTCCCTTACAGTACTGCACATCCCCTCGTTCCCTAGGAACTTCGTTGGTGTCGGCTGTCTTCAGGACCTCGGCGTCACCACTACGTTCTCGGGTCATGAGAGGTATGTTGTCTGTACCGAGGTTGCCTCAGGTGCCCCCCTTGCGATGTTCCCCCAGGACCCGGTGTCTGGCATGTTTACGCTGGACACAGCCTCCCCCCCGGTGGGCGCGTTCTCCCCGGATCCTGCGTCTACCCAGGTCACTGCAGCCTGCTCGTGTCGGTCGCTCACTCACCCGTTCGCTTATCTCGCACCACCGCCTAGGTCACCCCGCACTCCTGCGTCTGCGTCACATGTCTCAGCACGGTCTCATCCTCAGTCTCCATGCATCACTTCCTGCCCTCCCTCCTCAGCCTGCACCGTCGTGCACGCGCTGCGTCAAGGGCTGGTTGCGCCGTGCTCCTCAGTCCTCCTCGCTTCGCCCTGCCCCCGTCCTTGGACCGCGTCGCGAGAGCTACCTTCTCGTGCTCGTCGACGACTTCACACGCTACACCACGGTGTTTCTCCTGGAGCAGAAGGCCGATGTGCCTGGCGTTCTTATCCTGTGAGTCGTAGCTGCGCGCCTCCACCACTGTCTCCTTGTGCTGTGTCTCCACTCCGACAGTGGCAGCGAGTTCGCCTGTGGTCGACTTGGTCAATTCTGTCGTATGGAGGGCATCACCCAGTCGTACACTCTAGCTCACTCCCCGCACCAGAACGAGGTCGCTGAGCGATGCATCGGCATGGTCATGGAGCTAGCTCGCACCTCCATGATTCATGGTGGTGCACCCCATTTCTGTGGCCATTCGCTACGCCGCTCACCAGCTTAACCTGTGGCCGCGCTCTCAGAGGCCGCAGGTTTCGCCGACCCTTCTTTGGACCGAGCTCCCTGGAGACGCGTCCGCGTTCCATGTCAAGGCCTGCCTTGCTCACGTTCGTGCCTCTGGCATGGACAAGCTCACTTTCCGCACTGTCCCCTCTGTCTTCCTTGGTTTCCCCCTTGACTCGTCCGACTGGCACTACTAGTACCCGCCGTGTCACGGCATTTTCACTCCCGTGATGCCACTTTCGACGAGTCTGTCTCCTTTTACCACCGCTTTCCCGACCGAGGTCTCCCGGTTTCCCCGCTCCTGTTTCTGGTTCCCATTCCCCCGATAGCCCCAGCTCCCCTCCCTCCCCGTCCTGCTCCGTCTGGAGTGTCTCACATCACTCCCCTCCCATCGGTCGTCCCGGTCGAGGAGTTAGCTGACTCTGGTGGCCCCGCTGCGCCGTTCTCGCCGCCGGCCTCCCCCACGGTGTCTCCTCCTCCACCGTCGCAGCAGCAACCGCAGCCGTCGCTGCAGCCATAGCCGCAGCAGCCGCCACCGCCGTAGCAGCAGCCGTTCGTGGACTCTGGGGGTGCTGGCGTTGAGGAGGGTGCTAGTCAAGGGGTTCCTGTCGTAGCTAGTCCCGGCGGGCTTGGGGGTGGCACCGGTGCTGGATAGAGTTCTCACTCTGGGGGTGCCCGTTCTGGGGGAGCTGGAGTGAAGTGTTCCGAAGGTAGCCGTGGTGCAGCTGGCGGTTCAGATGTCGGCGTCGAGCAGCAGCAGCAGCAGATACTGCCGGTGTCCGCCCTAGGCATGCTCGGCCTTCCCTCCCCTGACCGATCGCCTGCACCTCCCCCGCTGCCTCCTCCACTTCTTGTCTACAGCCCTGTGTTTCCTTCGCCGGACTCATCTCCGGTGCGTCTTCCCCCTCATTCCCCTCGTGTTTCTCCTCCTCTGTCCCCTGACCCGGCACCTCCCTCTCACGTCTGGTCATGCCATCCCTCTCATGCTCGTCTTGCCTCTCCTGTTCAGCGTTCTCACCCTATGCTGCTTCGTTCCCACTCGTCTCGTTCTCCCCTCCTGCCTTCGCCTCCTCCATCGTCGCACGCTGTCGCGCCTCCCCCTCTGTCTGACTACCTTCATGCCACTCTTCCTCTTGTTCCTCGGGTCCTTGCCTTCTTATTACCGACCCGTCTGTCCCTGTCTCTAGTCTTGACACTCTTATCGCCTCTACCCGTCGCCTTGACTACGCCACCGCTCTGGTCTCTGACCCTGTCTGTCCTCCGTCCGTCAGGGGTGCGTCTGCCCTTGGCAGTAGCGTCCTAGAGGATAGACAGTACGACCTTGCTTTCCTGTCTGAGGCTGCTCCCCATCTCTTTTCCATGCTGCTAGTCCTTGAGGTTGACCCAGACGCCCTTGACATTCCGACCCCTCGCACTTACGCTGAGGCGACCTCGGGACCCTAGGCCTCACAGTGGATAGCTGCCATGGAGTTGGTAATGGCATTTTGGAGATCCACCGGCACCTACGTCGACGCAGTTCCCCCACCTGGGGTGAACGTAGTAAAGCGCCCCCCTGGAGAGCCGCCTGTGTTCAAGGCGCGCTACGTGGCTAGAGGCTTCAGACAGTGCGAGGGGGTGGACTTCTTTCAGACCTTTGCCTCGACCCCAAAGATGACTACTCTTTGGGTGGTGCTACACGTAGTAGTACAGCTTGACTACGAGCTTCACTCCCTCGAATTCTCCACTGATTTTCTTCAGGGCAGTCTACACGAGCAGGTCTACCTACGCCATCCGCAGGGCTTCACCGGTTTTTTCCCTCCTGGGACCCAGTGGCTCCTCCAGCGCCCGGTCTACGGCCTGCGACAGGCGCCCCGTGAGTTGCACGTCACTCTGCGTGCTACCCTTGCTGACCTGTAGTTCTTTCTGTCCTCTGCATACCCCTCGCTCTTCGTTCGTGCTGGCCAGACTCCGTTCTACATCCTTGTCTAGGTAGACGACCTGGTCTTCGCTACTGATGACAGAGACACACTGGCCTCCGTGAAGGCCGAGCTACTGAGGAGGCACACCTGCACTGACCCAGGAGAGCTGCGCCGCTACCTTGGCCTGCAGATCTCCAGGGAGAGAGCAGCGTGCACCATCACTATTATACAGTCACACTTGGTGCGTCAGGTCATTTAGAGGATTGGTCTTCAGTTCTCCTCTGCACAGCCCACACCTCTGTCAATAGATCACAGCCTCTCTGCTCCTATTCCTAAGGAGTCAGTAGAGCCTAGTGGTCCTTACGGAGAGCTGGTAGGTTGCCTCATGTACCTGATGACTTGCACTCGTCTAGATCTCGCATACCCTCTCAGCATCCTGGCTCGCTTTGTGGCCACAGGAAGACACCGACCACAGCACTGGTCGGCCGCTAAGACGGTTTTGCGTTATCTAGCAAGTACATCGCACATGGGGGTAGTGCTGGGAGGACGCAGGCTAGTGGTCCTTACTGGGCACACAGACGCTTATTGGGCAGACGACGCTGAGACCCTCAGGTCCTCCCACGGCTACTGCTTTGGCCTTGGTTCAGTTGCCATCTCGTTGAGGTCCACTCGCTCCTGGTTTGTTGCCCAGTCTAGTTGTAAGGCTGAGATCTACGCTGGTGCCATGGCGGCACAGGAGCTCCGCTGGCTGACCTTCTTGCTCACCGACTTAGGTGAGCGGCCTAGCTCTGCCCTGGTTCTGTACGCTGACAACATGGCCATGATCATCGTATGGCAGGAGCCTCGACTTGAGGGCAGAGCGAAGCATATCCAGCTGCGGTACTTCCTCCTGCGAAAGCTACAACAGCGTTGCCAGGCTCGCGTAGTACACTTGGCCTCCGGTGCCGACACAGCTGATATCTTTACTAAGCCGCTTGCACCTAGAGATCATCAGCGGCACTGTTTACAGCTTGGTCTAGATCCTATAAACTCTCACTTGCTAGGACCTTGATTGTGTACTGGTCTTATATATATCTTTCAGACTGGCCTTGTGGCTTCACTTCCAGTGGCCGGAGTAGTAGTTCCGCCCTGGTTTGCTCCTGTCTTGTTTATACTCTTGCTGACTGGTCTTCGGACCCCTGTCTCAGAGGTTGGATTAGTAGTGCCACCCTGAGTTGTGTGCTTCTTGCTTAGCACTACCCCTTATCTAGCCTAGGGGGTGTCAACTTATACATATATTTGCATATAGAACTTGTAGTCTAGAATTGGTGTGTGTTCTTAGAGAGTACAATCCAAACCCTATATCTTCCTTGTATTCCCCTTGAAGTGGCACGTGACAGACGATTTGGGGGGATCGACGGCTATGATTCACAGCCAGGCCAACACGAAAACACAGAATAAATCGTTATCGTTGGTCTCCAACAACAACCCTCCCCTGCTTCCACCACACATATACCACACATGTATACTCTACAAAAACTCCACCAATATAAAACGCCTGTATTCTTCACAATATCACACCCCACTATATTGTCGGATGTTCCTTCGTGGTAATCATGCAGGAGTTAGAAGTACTTGCAAAATCTGCCAACCATCAGTTGTGTACAACAGTTCATTCCAACTGTACTCCTTTGCTTCGCTTTGCAGCCTCCAAGGTGTTACTAAGTAGCATAGCTATGGTCATAGGGCCGACACCACCCGGCACGGGGGTAATGGCAGACGCAATATGCTTTGCCTCCTCAAAACACACGTCTCCCACTAGGCGGTAACCGCGCTTGGATGAGGGATCCTGTGTTAAGTTGCAACGTAGGCAATAGGAGGGAGGGATGGATGGAGAAATTTGTAAGGAAGAAAAACTAGAAAACAACCCGCCCTTGTATCTAAACATAGAAGCCCCCCCACCCCCCACCAAAGCATACTCTCAAATACTTGCATGTACTAGGTTGATCCCCAAATCCATCACCACACATCCGGGCTTCAGCCAATCAGCTTGAACCAGGTTCGGCATGCCTGCTGCTGCATTCACAATGCCACTACACCCCCTCTCCCTGCCCACCTCCCACTTCTCCCCTCCCCCCGCCCCAGCCCCCCATTTCTCCCCCCCTCCCCCCACCCCCGCCCCTCCCCAAACCAATACCCTCAGGTACTCACGTCTACTGGGTTGATCCCCACGTCGATCACCACACATCCGGGCTTCAGCCAATTGGCTCGAACCAGGTTCGGCACGCCTGCTGCTGCAATGACAATGTCGGCTTCCCGCGTGATTGAAGGAGGGTCCTTGGTGCGCGAATGCACGACTGTGACTGTAGCGTTGTTCCTCTAACAAAAGGGCAGAAGGGGGGACGGATGCAGTGGTCGGGGGGGGGAAGGGTAGAACAGCAGAGTGTCAGCATGTCAGCATGGCAGCATGTCAGCATGTCAGCATGGCAGCATGGCAGCATGTCAGCATGTCAGCATGTCAGCAGCATGGCAGCATGTGGCACTAGATATGGTGATTAAAATGAGGTCACTGCAACCCAGTAGGAGCATGGCACCTTGTGACATAACGCATGGTGGCTACAACGAGGCCATTGCTACCTGTAGCAGCATGGCAGCAGGGGTGCCCACTATGTTGCTCCGACCAATCACGACTGCCCGTTTCCCCTCCATTGGGACCTGGGCCGGAAAGTTGGAGGGAGAATACAGGGCACGATCTCGCAACGGCTAAGGAAGGTTGCTTGTGAATGGATTGACAGCATACAGGGAACCGTGATCAAACAACTTCTGACCCACAACAAAACCTGAGCTAAAACCTGAGCTCAATGTAGAAGAAGAATTGCGAATCCGATACACAGATAGTTAAAACCCCCACAAACAGCGGCGCCTTCCCCTCTCCCCCCGGCGCCATCCCTGTTATCAGCCCAACCTTATCCCCCTTATAAGCTCACCTTGCTCCGGATAAGCCGCTCGATGCATCCCTTGGGCGTGCATGGCACAAAAAGCTGCTTCTCCCCCCATCCCTTCCCCCCCCCGCAACTACCGTTCCTTTTATATAGCCACCTTAGTCCCCGTTATAAGCTCATCCCCATCCCCTTTATAAGCTCACCTTGCTCCTGATAAGCAGCTCGATGCACCCCTTGGGCGTGCACGGCACAAACAGCGGCTTCCTCCCGGCCATCGCCAGCTGTCCGATGTTGATCGGGTGGAATCCGTCCACGTCCTTGTCAATGCTGACTGCACTTAAAACCCTCTCCGCGTTGATGTGCTGATGGTGGGAAGGGGATGCACAAAAACAAGGTAGCAGGGGAAGGGGGGGAGGGGAGAAGGGGAAGGAGACAGGGGAGAGCATTGGATGGAGCAGTCTACTTTCTTGATGGAATCTTGTCTATGCTCACCGCGCTTAATACGCGCTCTGCATTGATATGCTGGTAGCCAATCAGAGGAAAAAGGGGGGGTTGGTTGGGGGGGCGAAGGGGCGGGGGGGTGGGGGGGTTTAAGGGCATGGGGAACAGCGTTGTCTATGCTCACTGCGCTTAGCACGCGCACTGCATTGATGTGCTGCACGTAGGCAATGGGGCGGGGATGACGACCAAGGAGGGGGGGGGGGGGGGGGGGCGAGAGGAGCATTGGATGATACCCGTTCACGTTCTTGTCAATGCAGACTACACTCAGCACGCGCTCTGCATTGATGTGCTGCATGTAGAGATGGTAAAAGAAAAGGTCAGAAAGCGTTGGGGAGGAAGGGAGGGGGGGGGGGGTTGTGGGCGGGAGAGCATTAGAAGGATCCGTCCATAAGGTAGATAAATCCTTGTCATTGCACTCAGCACTGCATTGCCGTCCACGCGCACTGTTCTCAATACCCTCTCCGCGCAAAACCCTACAAATAAAACCCTCAACCCTGATCCAATGGAGTCATTTTGTAGAATTCTCAACCCTCAACCGTGATCCTCTGCTGCTGCTAACCTCAGGCAGGGGCAGCTGCTGCCCCTGCAGCTGAGATGAGCACGAGGCGAGGCGAGGAATCCTCGCCGAGGAATTCCAACCATCGCCCCGCAAACGAGGCAAGGCGAGGATTCCTCGGCGAGGATTTGTGGGGAATAATGATCCTCGATCCTCGGATTTTGGAGGCGAGGAATTTTGTCTCGCCCCGAGTTGAGGATTCCTCGCCTCGAGGGGGGTGTTTCTATGAGTTTGGGGTGGGCAAGGGCAGCTGCACGAGCACGCTGCACACCTCTGGGTTATCGTTCAATTCCTTCACCGCCGCAACCACCTCCTCCTCGCTTACATCCGCACCGACACCCGACACTCCACCACCACCACCAGCACGCCGTGCACGTCGGGGTTGGCGTATAGCTCCTTAACCGCCGCGACCACCTCCTCCTCGCTCACATCCGCGGGCAGATCCACGCCAAGAGCCAACCAGCACCCTGGTCCAAAAACCCTAAAGCCCTGAGCCCGGCCCCTTACATCCAGCTCACCTTAGGCAAGGGCAGCTGCACGAGCACGCCATGGACGTCCGGGTTGTCGTTCAATTCCTTCACCGCCGCCACCACCTCCTCCTCGCTCACATCCGCAGGCAGATCCACTCCAAATCACCTTCCCTAGAAGAGCCCTGCCATGCCATCTCACCACCACCACAACCACCTTCCCCCCAAAACCCAGGACCCCTCGACTGACCTTAGGCAAGGGCCACTGCACCAGCACGCCATGGACGTCGGGGTTGTCGTTGAGCTCCTTCACCGCCGCCACCACCTCCTTCTCGCTCACCACCAACACCCTCCCCAGATCCAAAACCCTACACCTGCTCACCTTAGGCAAGGGCAGCTGCACCAGCACGCCGTGCACGTCCGGGTTGTCGTTCAATTCCTTCACCGCCGCAACCACCTCCTCCTCGCTCACATCCGCCGGCAGGTCCACGCCGAAGCTCGTTATGCCCGTTTCAGCGCACGCCGCCTTTTTCATACGCACGTACGACTGCGAGTCCTTCCGATCGCCCACTAAAACCACCGCCAAACCCGGCGTCAGGTGCGCGCCGGGCAGCGCCTGGAGCCGCTTTACCTCCGCCGCGATTTCGCGCTTGATCTCCTCCGCGATCGCCTTCCCGTCGATTAAAGCCGCCTCGTTGGCGGGGGCGGTTTCGCCCTCCGCGGCCGCTGCTGCTACTAGGAGCGCTTGGAAAGATTTTTGCGACGTCTCTAAAGTGGGGAGCCTTTTAAGGACGTTCTGCCAGGCGCGGCTCCGCTGGCTGCTGCTGCTGATTCTAAGAGCGGGAAATGCGGCGCCTCGGGCGGCGGCCGCGGCGGATGTCACAGCGGAGCGCGAAATCGAGCGCGTGGGAGAAGCCGCGTTGGAAAATCGGGAGGCTGAAAAGGAAAGGTTATAAGACGGAAAAGCCACGCGGGAAAAGCTGACTTTTGAGTCGACTCAAAAGGAAAAGCCGCGTTGGAAAGGACACAAACGAGAGGAAGGGTGCGTAAAAGCGATTTCAGACGGAAGAAAAGGAAAAGATCAGATCCGATCAGAGAGCAATCGCAGCAGAGAGGGACAGAACGTTCTTTGCCGAAGGGGGCATACGGAGGAGGTTATACAGTGCATCGACCTTAAAACGGAAGCGAATTCATAATAGCGCGTATGAATCGGCTCACCATCAGGGCTATGTGATGACGTCACGCAGGGACCAGCGGTATGCGGCGCTGCCGCGATCCGTCGATTAACGCCGTCCTTCGCCGGCACAACCGCGGCGCCGCCGGCGCAGAAGGACGAAGAGCGAGAGGAGAGATTAAGTAGCATTGGTGCGGATTTCACGGAGCTGCGAAGCGATCCGAAGGACGGCACTTTCATAAACCACGTGCCGTCAATCAACGGCGACGCGGGATACCGCAATGGCGGGAAAGATGAGGAGGATTCTTGAATGAACCGAACGGCAATTAGGGTAAACGGCAAACCGAGACCACGCTCAAGGCGACGAGAAGCTTCAGGGCAGCAGCTAGGGACACAATGTCGAATCCGATCCGATTCGCAATAATGCCTCTAAACCATGACCACCCGCAGGAAACGAAAAGCAGTTTTTGCACTACCGATCAGGCAGCTACCGGCCTTGTGATGCGACGTTGAAAAATGTGCCTCCAGGAAACAGGTAAGCGCCTCGGGGGTCAGGACAACCAGACTATACTTGAGAAGCAGGAAAATCGAGGAAGCGGGATGGAGGCGGGGAATGAGGGAGCATTCTAGAGCGAGTGTCAGACCCGAGATCAATCCGCGGCCGAAGAAGCCGCGGGCTGTCACAAACTAACTGCGGGTTTAGTGTACCCGACGGCGCAGCAGCGATAGAGCATCAATTTGTCGCAAAAGCGAACTGCGACTGAACTGGAAGCACTCGAAATTGCTGCAGTTGGGTTTTACAGGTCTTACATTGGCAGACGATCAATCGCGCGAAGCTTGAGTTTGTTGGAATCGTCGGCCACCTGGCAGACACCGTCAGTTTCCTCTTAGACCTAAGGAATTTTTTTCCAGCCCTCGGATCGTCCCGCTAAAACCTCGGGTCCAACACTCCTTGCGGAATGCGCCCTAAAGAGGTGTGTCCGGCTGGCAGGGTTTTGGGGTTGAGGTGGGATGATGAGACGAGCGCCTGACGAGGATGGGCACACTGAACATAGGAGAGCCTAACTTAGGGGACATTGGACATTTCGCTGTTTCATACAAAGTAGCAGCAGCACAAACAAATGTAATTCCCAACATCAAGTGATCATCCTCCTCATGGGGATTGAATCACCCCGTAAACCAAGGCCAATCACTAGCCTTCCGATATGCAACCATAAATTGAGCACCTGAACCAGGGCCTCAGATTGCAGGCTGTTTATCTTGATTTCGGGTAAAATCAGGGCTTTTTTAGGGGGTGACCCTGATGAGGCAATATTTTTTTCAGACAGAGGCCTGAAAGTTCAGGGTTTTTTTAAGAGTGAACTCTGATCGATCAGCGTGCCTAGTGTAGTGTGGCCTGTTTTTCCAATGTCGTATCGGAGCCTGACCCTGATTCTTTTAATAGCGGATTCTCGGCCCCAACCCCCCCATCTCGTGATTTCCGTAAATCCCCCCCCCCCACCCTCCCCGTCAATCATGTCGACTTGAGTGTGACCGACCAGATTTCAGCCCCCCCTGGAGAATATGCTGCCATTCTTCATCTAGCACGTAGTGCTCGGCGAGTTCTCATTAGCTGTTCGAAAGTAGCCAGCCACTGCTGTTTCCAGCACAGCGTAGCTGCAGGGTTTGGATTGGCTCATCGCCAAATTACAGCCACAGCAGCCAATAGACCAGGCCTAATGTTAGACTGTTGGCCCACTAGCACGGCAGTAGACCGCTACCCACCCGCTTTGTGAACCACATCCATGCATACAGAACTCTGTTGCGAGCCGAGTGCCCTCCACAAACCTCAAGAGACCCCATCATCTTCATCTATCTCTTCAATCGATGCTGTGCTGCCACACCTGCTCCCTCGTTCAAGTCGAGTTCTTCCACCCCCCGTCGTTCCGTTTCTCCTCCATGGTTGTGACTGATTTTCTTACCGTTGCCATCGCGCGATGGCAGCACCTAGCGACGGTGATCCAGAAAGCGATGATAGCATTCCTCGTGCAGACCTGTGCACAGGGCTCGACATGCTCCTCTCGACACTGTCTAGCCTCACCCCCATCCCGATTAGAGCCGATGCTGCACCTAGAGAATAGGAACCTGCAAGAAAGGAAGTAGCCGACTCAGTTTCCGATGTAGTCGTTCTTCCTGAGTAGAGTCATAGGCACGGTACGTCGGCACCAGCTGCCGTCAAGCGCCCTGCTACCGCGACGACTACCCCCAAGCGTCTTGGTCGCTACCGCGAGGCCAAGTTACTGTTCGCGAAACCGAATCCAGGAACTGTCGAACCGCCGGCATCGATACCTGCTGATGACGATGAAGAGTCGTCTGAAGACGATACACCTTCAACCTCCATGAAGTCTCTGAGTCCTTCTGAGCTTAATGCTGAGGCTCTTTCATGTTACAAGTTGAAGTGGCAGGAGCAGCTTCCCTGGCTCGTTTTGTGTAAAACGAACAATGGGCGCCCTGCCTTTAAGTGTACCATATGTCTAGAGCATGCAGGGCTCTCTGGAAGGACTGGTCGTCATGGGCCAGAAATCACAGACGCACAAACACAAGCGTTCAACAGGCACGTTGGTACCGGAAAGCACCGCATCACGTTCGGGAAGCAAAACTTTCAGTTGCAGGATGCCACTACCCAGACGCGAATCGATCAGAACCCGCACGCCGCGGATTTGGAGAGGGAGCGAGTGACCGCGCTTCTCGACCTGCTGTACACCTGCTGCAAGACCAACGAACCCATGGGCACATGGTTCACAATCGCCAACCACCTTGCCTCGCGGAAGTTTGAGAACTTCCCTGAGGGCGGATACGGGACATACATGAACTCGTAAGCCCTAAATCCCTTTAGATTCCTAAGCTTCTTATTCTTACATTCGATCCTTGTAAACCACTAACGACGAGATTTATTATGTTATTAAACGCAGGTACGGTTTCAGGGAGTTCACGAAATCCACCGCGGCCTAGCTGCACACCACCCAACTGGAGCACCTCATGCGAAGCCCGTTCATCGGACTTCGCCTCGACGAGAGCACGTACCGTTGCAGAGGAAAACACCGGATAGTCTTCTGCACTTTCATCCGGGACCTCCGCGTCGTCTCTGAGTACCTGGCGCTGCTCAGCGTTGACAAGGCGGACGCCTCTTCTCTGCTCGATGTGCTGCTCTCCCACTTGCAGGCAATCGGTGTCGATCTCCGCCGCATCACGGGCATCAACACAGACGGGGCGGCGTTAATGATGGGTTCGAAAGCCGACCTGGTGACTCGACTCCGGATGTGTATCCCTCACCTGGTCTCCTGTCACTGCATCGCTCACCGGTAAGTATCCATTTTTGCATTATTGAGTGTCCAACACTTTGCACAGATGCTGATTCGGGACAATACTAGCTGTTAGTCATGCTGGTTTGTTCGATTTCTCCCCGTGTTTTCTTCCATATGCAGAGAGGCGCTGGCAGCTAAGGCGGCGACGGAGGACATGCCGTTCTTCAAGATGATCGATGATGTCATCAAGGAGCTGGCCGAGTTCCTTGGTCGCTCTGGACCGTGGCACCAACGCTTCCTCAACCTCCAAGACGTCTTCCTCTCGACGCGCTTGGAGCTGCAGGGAATACACCAAGTCAGATGGCTCTCACGCGGTGAGGCCATCCGACGGCTGGTGAAGGTGTTGCCTGCCATCGTCGTCATGCTGTCCGAGTTTGCCGACGACCGTATTTACAAGATTGTCACGAGCTACAGGTTCTGGTTTGTGCTCATGTTTCTCGCTGATGTTCTTGAACAAATGAACATTCTCAACAAGACTTTCCAGACCTGCGAGTAAGTTTCGTCATATGGTGCTCCTAAACCGCTATTGACGCATCAATGTTGTCTTATCTGTATTCTCAAACCCCTTCCCGCAGCTGGACATGTCATCGATCCACGCGTCGGTCTCCCGGGTGACGTCCCTCTTTGAAAGCCGCTACGTCGACTGCGACGACGACTTCAACGGGGGCCCGAAAGACCTGCTCATGGCCTTCCTCACCCGTCACGGTCCTGGTGGTACGCGCAGCGTCACTGTTGAGGGCGTCGACTCCGATGGGCGCCCGCGTCGATTCAGCTTCGACCTGCATGAGGAGGGATTGGATGGCTACCCAGGTGAGGGCAAGCACGACGATTGTGTCGTAGCGTGCATGGCGCTGGCTGAAGGCATGGTGCAGAACCTGGACGAGCGGCTGGGGGACTTGAAGCAGCTGGGTGGTTTGATGCTGTTCTGTGCGGAGTAATGACCAAAGGGGTGGGAACGTGCTCCACGGAAGGCCCAACGTCTGGAGTGGTTTGAGATGATGGTCGACCTCTACCATGCAGGGGAAGCTGAAGAGATTCTTCCAGGTATCTCACATGTCCTTGACCCCGAGGCTTGCACGATTTGTTGATGTGATTCCGCTCTACCCTCGTTCTCCCTCCTACCCTTCCCTTATTGGCAGGTATCAACAAGCGAGCAGCTGTGATGGAGATCCCCCATTTCTGCCCTATCCTTGTCGCCCTGCCAAAGAATGACAAGGGCTTCTACACCGGGTTGACGACCATACTGAAGTCTCCATACTGGGAGGATAGCTTCCCCAATCTCGTCAAGCTGTAGTGCGCTTCGGCAGTTCTTCCCCTGAGCACAATGGATTGTGAACGAGGGTTTTCCCGCCAGAATGTGATTAAGAGCTGGCTGCGGGGCAGCATGAAGGACCCACGCCTTGGAGATTTGATGTGTATGAGCATGCTAGACTACGACGCAGACTGGGATGCCGTCATTAACATCTGGAGAGCCTACAAGAAGAGGAAGCCCTACAGTACTGCCCCTCAGAGCAGAGCCCAGAAGAGCAGGAAGGAGAAAGAGAAGGAGGACGATTCCCCTGTAGACCACGACAGCGTGCAGGCAGAGGAGGACGCTTAAGTAGGTCCTAGTATGCCTATGTTTATATTATAAATCCTTGTCTTTAGAAAAGATAGTAATAATGGGCATGTAGTTGAAGAGCCTATTTTTTATAGGTAACTTAACTCTGTTTATTCATCGCAAAATCTTTACAACACCCTGATTGATCAGCGTAAGCTTCTTTGCGAGGCCTGAAAAAAGAGTGTGCCCCTGAGCAAGGGGGGAGGGGGACCCTGAGCAATCAGCGTGCCCCAAAACGAATATGAGGCACTGACCTGAACATTATTGAAGTGGAAATATAGTTGTATGTATGGCTTAGCCATATAGTAGCATGTATCATATAGAGCATGTTTCTCCTTCCATACTTGCTGATTTGTTTTTGAAAGAATGTATGGTAGTTATCTTGCAGTACAACATTTCTTAAAGAAGTGTGGTATAGATAGGTTACGCAAGAACATGATAATGTGAACTGCATTTGAGAATGGTACAAACGAAACTTTGCCATGTCTAGGGTTTGGGAGTTCCGTTATCGAGGGGGATGTGATGTGATGAGAGGGCGTGTCACACGCCCTCAGATCCTGCTGCCATACAGGACTTATATGCTTGTCGCGTTCTCTGTCCGAACCAATGGTTCGGAAATGGATTGGGTTGCTGACTCACACGTATCTATCGATGACAGGGCTTCCGTGTGAGGTCGTAGTCGATGACGCTTTCCTGACGTCGAAGTGGATGCTCCTCTCATAATTTGGATTCCGTTTTGCGCGCCGAAATTCCTTCCCTGCATTTGTAGGTACTGTAACGTGCGTGGACTCTGGTCTGCTGTCACTCACGTCACGATGCTTGATTTGGCCGGAAATGGCGGGAACACGGAGTCGCGAAGGAACTCTAGCCGCCGATTTGGAAGATTCGGTGTGCTGGAGTTGGTCCTGATTTGTCATGCAGGTTACGCCACGTCACTCTTGGGTAAAGCCACTTCCACCTTTCGACTCGTCATCATCGTACAACTCTGTGTTTTTGCGGGTCGAACGGGCCTAGTTTTTTGCGTCACCGGCTGCCCTAGAAGCTGTACTGCTTCATGAATTGGCATTTGGAAGACCGTATGACAGTTTTGTATGTGTGGTGTGGAGGCAAAAACACAAGGGTCATGAAATTCCTCAGGCAGTCTGCTTGCAACCTGGAAACTGCAGAGCTGACCTGGAAGCTGCCCGGTCTGTTGTGGCAAGCACCAGTCTGCTCGCAGGTTCACTCTATTGCTCACATGTCGAAATGATGGCAGAATGGCAACTGTTGCCACCTGTTGGTCAAACTTGAATGGCACGGGCCACGCTGACAGGCAGACCGTCGATGCGCAGGGTTGACGACGACGGTACAGTACGCGTCCTCCTTGTGCGAAAATGTTTCGCTTCATGACGTCTCCCTCCCCTCAACATGTTGGCAGGATGAAATGTTCTCCGCGAAGGAAACCTCTGTTGCATGCGACTTAATCACACCCTGCCACCGCCAGTGGCGTGCCATTGTTACACTACAACTTGTGCGACGACTGAAGCCTGATTTCCTTCGCAGTGCCTGTTTTGCGAAGGGAAAAAAACTGCCAAACCCACATGAGCGGGCTGCGGATGAAACCTGCCCGAAGTGCAACTTTCCGTCCCGAAAATTTCAACCTCTCACGGTCCATAAACTGTGCGCAACCTCCCTGAAAGAAAAGCTAGGAGGAATTATCGAGGGAAATCATAGAAAGGGATCATAATCGCGCGGCTCGACCCCCTGTCGCACGGCCAACTGAAACGAACCGAACCGAAATCCCCCGCTTCAGTTGGACCAACCAGCGCAGCGGCACGCATGCAGCACCACACATCTATCAATCCCCCACATGACATCCGTTCCCCCCCTCGATCACCACTCTTCCCCTCTCTCTGACCTTCTCAAAATCTCATCACCGTTCTCAACCCCCTCAGCCGCTCGGCCCACACTTGTGCTACCGAGTCAGCAGATTATTTTTTCACGTGATTGTGACTCATTCCACTCACTCCTCCAACCACACCTACTCGACACACAAGCACCATCTCTGGCCCGCGCCTTCTCCTCCCTCCCCCCCTCCCTCTCCCTCCATCTCTCTCCTCGCATACAGTATTCACGCACTCGTCGCCATCACGTCACGCCTGGTCCTCGTGCCCCTCCTCTACTGTACACAGACCATCCCATTCCGTCCATACCCTAGCCAGCCCAGTTCAACGCGCACAAACCCCATTGGCACACGAAGTTCCTTTCTCCCTGCTACGCTGCTCATCTCCTCTCATCTGGTTCCTCCTCACCTCACTTCTTCGCTGCCTCTGTCGCCCAAGTCCCGAAGTCCCCCCCGACCGACACCCAGACTGAAGCTGGTCAGGTTGCCTCGACACGAACAGGCATACATCCCGAGCCAATTGCGTGCACGGATTCCTCGATCGTCCCACGATTTCCGCACATTTCACTCTCGCGTCTCTCGGCCATTCTTTCTCTCTGCTCTCTGCTCTCTAGTCTGCTCTCTCTGGTCTCTGGTCCAGCCATCTCTAACTGTGCCCCTGGTCGCACTTCGTCCCCCAGGCGGAATTCTAACCTTGCCTGACACCGACCAGCGTTGCTCCGTTGAAGGGAGATATTCTATTCTTCACTACAAAGGAGCCGTTTCCTCCCTTATCGCGCTTAACTCGCGAGCCAGTCTCCTCTCGCTCTCGCGCTCTTGACTGAGCCAGTCTCCCCTCGCTCTCGCGCTCTTGACTGAGCCAGTCTCCTCTCGCTCTCCCGAGACGTCCCTAATTTCCGCCGAGTGCATGCCGTTTGTCCCTAACGCGCGACCCACGCATCGAAAGCGGCGGCTCGCAGGAGATTATAAGAATGCCAGGCATCTTTAACATCTGGCCCGCGCACGGGCCTGCCGCTACTAGCCGCGGTAACTTCCGCACGGCTCCCGCCGCATCTTCCGCCGCATCTGCCGCGGGGAATTTCTTCAGCAAGCAGGAGTACCTCTCCTTCGCCGTTGACCACGTCGCGACAAAACCCGCTGACCTGCTGCTGACAGCGGAGCTCTCCGCCATCGCCGGCGCGATTCCCGCTCCGGTCCTGCCGCCGCATCAGCAGCACGCGTCGCCCGCTGTGAAATCGCTTCTGTTCAACCAGTCGTCGGTCTCGCCGCATAATCCGCCGCGACTTCCGTTCGCTGGGATTGGCGCGCTGCAGCAAATCCTTCGTACCGCCGCGACTGACGTCGGAAATATCGGCGAACGGAGCGGCTGCGGCGTCACCGGGAGCCTCTTCGCGGCGCAGACTCCCGCAGTCGGCGGGCCGGCAGCGGAACGGCCGGCGGAACGAACGGCGGCGGCGGAGAGCGCGGCGGCAACTGCGGCGGCGACCGCGGCGGCGACCGCGGCGAACAGCGGGAGCAGCCGGGGCCTGCATTTAATTCACGGGCCATGCCCGACGGGCAGCCATGGGAAGACCGCCGCAAGTCACGGCGCCAAGGGCGGCGGCAGCTACGACAGCAACAGGTGCGTGTCGTAGTAGGGTTTGCTCCGCCGATTTCTGTTCGACTTGAAACGTGTTCCGCACGTTTCGACGGCCCCCTGCCCTCAGCCACGTGTTTTGTAGTAGGGTTTCCAGCTCGTTCTGTCCTCGTTATCTGCTCGCTGTCTTACCCGCTTCCGTCTCTCTCTCCCCACCTTCCCCCCTTTCCACGGTCCCCGCTTCCCCCGTCCCGCTTCCGCCAGTTCCGGTAGCGCGCACGACCCGTCGTCCGTGTGTTTGGCGGAAATGGTTTCCGATTTTATGGAGATGGAGCCGGATAGCCACACCCTCGATCATCGCCTCCTTGACGCGTTTCACAGTAACGAGGATGACTACAGCGCGGACGGTTACTCCGCGGGCGGAGGCCTGCGCCTCGTTCAGGAGGCACGCGGAAGCGGAGGCGCTCCTGCGTCAGGCGCAATCCCGACCTATGCGCGGATGGCGGAGCAGGAGGCGCAAGCTCCGCGGATGGGGGAGGGCGGCGGGTGGTGCGGACTGGGGGATGTCTCGAGTCTCATTGAGGTGAGGTGCAGAGAGGATAGGACCAGGGGAGGGGGGGAGGGGGTGGGGGGGGGGGGGAAGGCGGGGGAGGTGGAATGGGGATGGGATGGTCATGATGCTGATGTATTGGGATGTGCTTATTTGTGGGTGTGCTTTTCCCCGGCGTGCCCCCATTCTCCTCGTTCTGCTCCCTTTGCTAGTGGGATGGTTTACTCACCTACGGCCCTTTCCCTTCCCCCTTTGCGCCCCTTTCCCGTTCTGCTCACTCCAGTCCCTCAGCACCTGCTCTTCCGCGGACGAGTGCCAGCTGTTCGCTGACGTCATCGCCGCCCTGAAAGCAGCCAAGAAGGAAGCTTCCGCTTCAAACGCTGCCACTGCTGGCGGTGCTGGCAATGGCAGCAATGGTGCCAGTGGCAGTATTGGTGCCAGCAGTTGCAACAACGGCAATCTGCGGCGGGCGGTGATGTCGGCACTTCGCACCCGTGGCTACGACGCAGCAGTGTGCAAGGCGCGGTGGGAGCACTCCAAGGGGCTCCCCGGGGGCAGCTACGAGTACATCGATGTCATCCTTCCAGGCCAAAGCAGCAGCAGCAGCAGCAACAGCAGCAGCATGGCCAACACCACCACCACCAACTGCACCGGTGCCAGCAGGCTCAGCAGGGCTTCTGCATCTGCTTCTGCTGCTGCCGCTGGTGCCTCTGCCGCTGCCTCCCCATCCGCTTCCCCCTTCTCCCCCTCCGACCGCCTCATCATCGACATTGAATTCCGCGCCCAGTTCCAGATCGCCCGTCCCACCTTCGCCTTCGACGCCGTGGTCCACTCGGCGCCCATCATCTTCGTCGGGCGGTTGAACCGGCTGTTAAAGATAACCGACGTGCTCGCGGACGCCACCCGGCAGTCGCTGCGAGAGCAGGGGCTGCACCTGCCTCCTTGGAGGAGGGTCGAGTATCTCCGGACCAAGTGGGCTGGCCCGTACCGGAGGACGACAAACCAGATCCCGAGGTCCGTCAGCAGCACTCAGCTGGCTGGGGATGCTGCTATGGGTGCCGCCGGTTCTGGTTGTGCTGGCGTGCCTGCTGCTGTGCCTGCTTTTCCGTTTCTTCCTGCCTCACATGCATCGCAGCATTCGCATGCGTCACAGCATTCGCATGTGTCACAGCAGCAGCAAGCGCCCTTCACCCGACCAGCCCCTCCGGCGCCCGCGGCGGCTCGACCAATCTTCTCGTCTAACCACTCGCAACTCCCAGTGCGAGACACCGCGGTGCTTGCTCCTGCTCCTGGGGCTGCTGCGCCTGGCGCTGCTGCATATGCTGCGCCCGGTAACCCATATGCGGTAACCAGACAGACTGCAACGAGGGAGCTCTGTGCACAGCCAGCGAGTCAGATTGCAGAGAGGACAAACGCGGTTGCCAGCACGGTTACTGGGTTCGGCCGCGCTGCAGTGGCGGGAGGTCCTTTGACTGCAGTGCCAGAGCAAGGGCGCGTAGTGGTTATGCGTAGTGGCGTGAGTCACGTGAGCCAGATAGGGTTTGAGATGAGAAGATTGGCAGAGGAGAGAGCATTCAGGCAGCACGGTTACTGCTGATGATGCTGGTTACCAGTGGCTGCTGCTGGAAGAATACTGGTTACTTGATACCAGTGGCAGCTGCTGAGAGTGTACTGGTTATACTGGTTAAGTGACAGCTCTGCTGCTCCACTTCCCCTGGTGCTGCTAAGCACCCAGTTTTCCACTTGAGATGCCTCAAGACCCCGGTGCTGCAGGCAGCAGCGGACACACTATTTTGTGGCGGTTATTTTTCCCAGATTAACACTGGTCACATCGCCTTCTTTGGTGGTCCGGTTGGTGCCACTGCCAAGGCACAAGTCATCCTATCCAGCTTTTGTGGAGGATGCAATTTTGTCCGTTTGGTGCCACTGCCAAGGCACAGGTCATCCTATCCAGCTTTTGTGGAGGGTGCAATTTTGGCCGAGTTCAGGGTTTCCGTGGGAGGTTTTCCCCGCTTTTGGTGTGTTCCCTTGTGTGCCCTTGTGTGTGCATATGTGATTTGCGTTTTTTGCTAGATGGCTCATGTGGCTTGCAAGTGGGCGACATGACCGATGTTCTTTTCCTGTAAATGAAATGTGAGTCTTCATCACAAGGCTTTGGTGCACTATCGGGATATTCTCCATTTATGCTGCACATTGATTGGCGGTGGAACTAAATTATAAACGAAGAACTCATTCGCGTTACAGGCGTGCTCTCCAATTCCCCCTCAAGTTTGCCGAACCCAGTCTGACAACTGGGCTCCAAACCACCTCGAATTCTTCAGCCTCGGAGACTCCGCTGCAGCCTGATCATTCCCCCGTCCCTGAAGAACGCCACGAATTCTCTTCTCACCCTCGGGAACTCCGCCGCACGCCTGATTATTTCGTGTCGAATCATCCGTTGCCTGAAAATTCTCTGCCTGGAAACTAGTCCTTGATCATTACTGTATCACTAGGAGATCAGGTAGGACTTGGTCATAAAGGCAACTGTCTGTTTGGTAGTGCGAACTGGTGCTCCCCGTGAGGTTTAGAAGGCTAAGTAGCCTTCACAGAAAGTACTTCCCCTTGATTCATGAAGTACCCGTTATTGAGCTCCATAGCGTCAACAGGGTTACCGTCTTCAACCGTGACGGATTCCGTCAAATATGACGATCAGATAGTGCAGGAGACGCAGCAGGGCTACCTGCAATGCTGATTACCTGGCCGTCAAAATCCGTTGAAGAGTTCTCTCTGATTCTCTCGTTGGTTTACTGATTCCTTGAGAACGATATTCTGACCTGTGACGATGGTCTGCTTCCTGTGACAGATTTTTTAGAATTCTCAAACCTGCTAAAGAGTTCTCCTCTCTGCCTCTCTAGTTGGTTCACTGATTCCTTGAGATCGATGCTCCGCTTCCAGAAAGTTCGCAGCAGGACTGGCTGCCGTGTCAGCAGACCCAGCAGGAATAACTGAAGTGCTGCATTGCTGGTAATGAGATCCCGACGAGCTCTCCGCTCAGATTCTCCACGTGGCTCACTGATTCTACGTGGCTCACTGATTCCACTCGGCTCACTGATTCCACTTGGCTCACTGATTCCTTGAGGACAATGCTCTTCTTCCTGTGACCTGGCTTCATGGCTCGATACGGGGTGTCACAGGTTGCTTGGCCGAGCCACCGCAATCCACGATTCCTAGGTGCCATCCTCGCTACAATCACCACGCTGGCCGTAGTTAGCGCGGGAGTTCCCTGCAATGGCGCTAGAAACACCTGTTATGACTCTAGAAACACCTGTAATGACCCTAAAAACACCTGTACTGATCCGGGGAATAGGGGGGGGGGTACCTGTACTGACTCGGGTAGTAGGTTCATCGCTCCGTTTAACTCCCTTCTGCAAAGTATAGACAACAGCAGCAGGATAAGTGGCTGCAAGAGGAGCAGAATAAGTGGCTTCCCGGCAGCAGCAGCAGCACCAGAAGCCTTACCAAGACCAGCACTTGAATCCAGTATACACGAGCCTCGAGTCTCTCGGTGTAGAAGGGAACAGCTCACTAGCCGACTGGATATCGCATTCCTTTCAGCAGAGGGCGTACAAGGGAACTGCTCAGTAGAGGCTCCAAGGCATCGTTCTTGCTACATCAGAAAACCGCCGCTCCTGACAGCAGCTTACACAGCGCATAATCAAGAGATTGTAGCGGGTATACACGGTCCGGAATCAAGGTCGGGATTGGCGCAGGTAGCAGGCTTGGAAGCGGAGGTTCGGTTGGAGGGATGGCAAGTCTGGCAGGCAGAGAGGATGGGGGAAACCCCGGCAGGCTCCAAAGAACCTGAATCCGTCTCGAGGCCTGCATCTCAAGAGACAACTGACGCTTTTGATACACCAGAGGAGGTTTCCGAGGCAGGAGAACAGGTTTGGGACGGCACGAAGAGGCTCAGGGAAGAGGGTTCCGAGGCTCAGGTTCGGGATGTTGACATTGAGCCGGTGTTAGATGAATGGATCGTCCGGTTCTCTTCATACGAACCTGTGGACGTGCATCGGCAACGGCTGGTAGACGCTTTAGAATATCCTCAGAATCCGGATACCAGCCAATCAGGACGCCTTAGAGGATCAGGAGAGGCCGGCAGTCAGTCTGCCGATGGCCAAGTGGGGGCTGCCAGGTGGCACTGGGTAGAGAGGACGAATCCGGCCATGGCCTTCCCAACGGATTTTGGAGTTTTGCTGATTGAGAGAGCCGGGAGAGTTGAGAAGGAGGAGGAGGATAGGGAGAGGGGGATTGGGGATAATGAGTGGGAGGATCTGAAGCGTCGGATCGAGGGCCTTCCGTTTGTGAAGGATGTTCACCGTCAGATGACGTACACTCGTTCACTGATGCACAGCGAAGGAGGGGGAGAGGGGGAAGGGACAAAGGGTGTTGGAAGCGGGAGGAGGAGAGGAGGAGAGAGAGAAGGGAAAGGAGGGGGGAGAGGAGGGGAAGGAGGGAGAGGAGCAGGCATAGGAGGAGAGAAGTCAGGTAAGGCAGAAGAGGACCCATGGCTTGAGGGGTGGGGGGAGGAGGAGGAGGGGGTGGGGTGGGATGTGAGAGGGCCAGTGAGGAAGCCTCCTGGAAGGCTACGAACGAGAATGTCTTTCGAGGAGGGGGAGATTGACAGTGATCCCACGGGAACAGCGGGAGGGCCTGGGGGTTTCCCAGGAAGGGTTCAGGGTATGGGTTTTGGGGGTGAGGGGAGGAGGGGTGAGCGGCGGCGGGAGGAGGAGGAGGAAGAGAGGATACGTGTGGGTGCAAGGGAGTTGAGATGGGTGGAGAGCGGTGGAGAGGGAGGTGAGGTGATGGGAGCAAGTGGAGGGAGATCAAGGAGGAGGAAGAGGAGGATGGAGGAAAGGAGGGGGAAGGAGCGGAGGGTGGGAAGGAGGAGGCATTTGGAGGAGTCGTTTGAGGGAAGGGATGTGGAGGAGTCAGTTGCTACTGGCTCATTTCTCAATAAGGCCTGGAATGTATCTGCTGCTGCTATCAATCGGCGACATCTAATGCAGGTAGGAACTGATGCAGGCAGGCATTGACGCTTGTAGATTGAGGCAGGTATGGGTTGAGGCAGGTAATTCTGGATGCAGGTAGGAACTGGTACAAGATACGGACGGGCATGGTGTCCGGATGGCTGTTTTCTTGTTTGTTTGACCCTTTCCATCTCTCTTCACCCCTCTGCACCCCTTCCCACCCCTGCCCAACCCTACCCACCAATGCTCTCCCCACCATGCCAGGCGCACAAGTCACAGATCACATCTCTGTTTCATGCGGAAAGACTCTGGGCCAAGGGCTTCACTGGAGCCCATGTCAGGATGGCCGTTTTCGACACGGGCGTGCGGGCAGACCATCCCCACTTCAGAAACATCAAGGTGAGAATGGGTAGGCGTGTGTAGAGACCCAGGGCACCATCCCCAAGGGCTTGGAGCCCATGTCAGGATGGCCGTTTTTGACACAGGCGTGCGGGCAGACCACCCCCCACTTCAGAAATATAAAGGTGGGGATGTTTTAGGCCCCTTTAAAAAAAAAAAAAAAAAAAAAAAAAAAAAAACCGGCTAGACAGGGTCATGTCCGCTGCTGGTACGTTGTGGTGAAGGTGGGAATGAATATGGATGGTATTAGTGACGTGTCAGGCGATGTCCTTGCTGATTTGTGATGCTCCCAGCCCAGGTGTGAATGCATGGAAGGAAGCGTGTGTGCTGACTAGTAGTAAATCCACCATCCTCGCCCTCTTATGATTCCCCAGGAGCGCAATGACAGCCTGGGCTACGGCACATTGACTGTTTGAGAAATTCCCCCCCCATCCGCCCTTTTTCTTTTGATCCCCCCCATTCCGTCCTCTATCATTCATTCCCGCCTCCCCCTGCCATCGCCAGGAGCGCACCAACTGGACCAGCGAGGACACACTCAATGACAGCCTGGGCCACACATGCTTTCCAATGAGCACCTTTGCCTCTCAAAATATCGCCACTGCCCTCTATCATTCCCCAGGAGCGCACAAACTGGACCAACGAGGACACACTCAACGACAGCCTGGGCCACGGCACCTTGACTGTTCGATCAACCTCCCCCCATTCCGCCCTGTATCATCCCATCTAGGGTTGAGCAAACTACCCGCCCGGGTCGGGTACCCGGTACCCGGACCCGCTTTTAGGGCGGGTCGGGTATCGGAAATCCTGAAAATTACCCGCCGGGTCGGGTCCGGGTTACCCGGGCCGGGTATCAATACCCGCTACCCGAAATGCTACCCGACGTGTCGGGTAACGGGTACCCGACCCGGTCGGGTAAAAAATTACCCGAGGTCGGGTATTCCACCTAGACATGGGCGTAAGTCGCGCTGTGTTTTAGTTTTTGCGGCAAAACAGTTTTGGAGGTGAGGGGGGACGAGTGGAGCCCTACCTAGGCTAGCCCTACCTAGCCTAGCCCAACTTTAGGATGTCCACTAGTAGGTGGCGGGTAAAATTACCCGCTTTTCAGGGGGTCCGGGTCGGGTATACCCGGACCCGCCAGGCGGGTATTACAATACCCGCCTAAAAAAACCGGGTCCGGGTAAGGGTCCTGGGCATATTACCCGACCCGGACCCGACCCGAAATTACCCGACCCGAGGTCGGGTATGGCAAAACCGGGTCGGGTCGGGTAATTACCCGGTTTTGCTCATGCCTAATCCCATCCCCCCATTCCGCCCTGTGTCATCCCATCCCCCCATTCCGCCCTGTGTCATCCCATCCCCCCATTCCGCCCTGTGTCATCCCATCCCCCCATTCCGCCCTGTGTCATCCCATCCCCCCATTCCGCCCTGTGTCATCCCATCCCCCCATTCCGCCCTCGACCATTTGATCCCCCCATCCTCCCCCCCCCCCTCGTGCCATCCCCAGGAGCGCACCAACTGGACCAACGAGGACACGGGCAACGACAGCCTGGGCCACTGCACGGCATGTTGACTGTGCCATCAGTTCCCTTGGTCAACATATCACCATCCTCACCCCCCCCTGCCTGCCATGCATACCCCAGGAGCGCACCAACTGGACCAACGAAGACACGCTCAACGACAGCCTGGGCCACGGCACGTTGACCGTCCCATCAGTTCCCTTGGTCAACTTGTCACCATCCTCACCTCCCCACCCGGCCATGCATACCCCAGGAGCGCACTAACTGGACCAACGAAGACACGCTCAACGACAGCCTGGGCCACGGCACGTTCGTGGCGGGGGTGATAGCGGGCCACGACTCCCAGTGCCGCGGGTTCGCCCCCGATGCTGAGATCTATGCCTTCCGGGTCTTCACTAACGCCCAGGTGAGGAATACCTCGAGCTGCCAGGGGTGATAGCAGGCCAGGCCACGACTCCCAGTGCCGCGAGTTCACCAACGGTTAAGTGAGAGCCAGTCACTTCTCCCAGTGCCACGCGTTCCCTTGGCCAACGTTTATCTTTGTCTTCACCAATGGTTAAGTGAGAGCCACCTCCAACTGGCGGGGGTGATAGCCAGTCACGACTCCCAGTGTCACGGGTTTGTTCCAGACGCTGAGATCTACGCGTTTCGTGTCGTCAATTCCCCCACCCCCGCCCTCCGCCACTCCTCTCCCTCCCTCCTTTCTCCCCCAATGGCCTCACAGGTCTCCTACACCTTGTGGTTCCTAGACGCATCCAGCTGCACCATTCTGACTAGGATGAACGTGGATCCGGGTGGGCTCTCCCTCACACCTCCCCACCCCCCCTCCTCCACTAAACCCCCAACGCTCCTCACAGGTCTCCTACACGTCGTGGTTCCTGGACGCATTCACCTACGCCATCCTCACCAAGATGAACGTGCTCAACCTCAGCATTGGGGGGAGCGGATCTTCCCCCACCCCGCTCCCCTCCCCAACCAAAACCCTCATCACAGGTCTCCTACACGTCGTGGTTCCTGGACGCATTCAACTACGCCATACTCACCAAGATGAACGTGCTCAACCTCAGCATTGGGGGGCCAGATTACCTTGACAGGCCGTTTGTTGAAAAGGTGAGTTTTGGGGAAGTGGGTGGGTGGGCTTGCTGGGTGGATGGGTGGGTGGGTGGGCTTGCTGGGAGGGTGGGTGGGTGGGTGGGTGGGTGGACTGGGAGGGTTGCTCGGGGAGATGGGCGTGGGAGGACGTGGGGGACTTGGGATGATTGTGCTCAATCTCGACCTCAACATGGGGGGGCCAGACTACCTCAACAGACCGTTTCTTAAAAAGGTGGGGCCTGGAGGGGATGCGGAAAAGTGGGAGAGGGGGGGACGGGGTGGGGATTGGGAGGGCTGCTGGGGAGATGGGTGTATGGGGGGACGTGGGGACTGGATTGAACGTGCTCAACCGCAGCTTTGGAAAAATGTTAGTTTTGAGGCGTCTCAAGGCGAATTCACTTTCATGTGGCTGCTGGGGAAGATGGGTGTGGGGGGATGTGGGGACTTGGTTGAACGTCCTCAACCTCAGCATTGGGGGGCCAGACTACCTCGACAGGCCGCTCGTGGAGAAGATCAGTTCTGAAAAGTGGGTGGTGGGGGGGAGGGGGGGGCTGCGTGGGTCAAGAGGGGGGACTTGTTGAGGAAAAGGGCGTTGAGGGGGGAACAGACTACCTTGACAGGCCGTTTTGGGAGAAGGTAGTTCTGGGGGGTAGGGGGAGGGGGGGATTCAAAAGGCTGCTGGGGAAGATGGGTATGGGGCGACATGGGGACTTGGTTTTTGAGAATTCTAAAAATTCGCTCGCAAGGGTATGGGACGACATGGGGACTTGCTTGAAAGTGCTCAACCTCAGCGTTGTGGGCCCAGACTGCCACGACAGGGGTATCTTTTGAGTCAACTCAAAAGTCCACGACAGGTTTATCAGCCATGGGCAATGATGGCCCTCTGTGCCTTACACTCTCAACTCAACAACCCTGCAGGCCAGAGTGACATGAGCCTGCCACCCTGTCCTGTCTCGGCCTTACGCATCTGCTCCTCCCTCCCCTCCCCCATCCTTACCTGCAGGTGTGGGAGGTGACAGCCAACGGCATCATCATGGTGTCAGCCATTGGCAACGACGGCCCTCTGTGCCTTACACTCACAACAACGTGGCTGACCACAACGACGTGATTGGGAGAGTGACGTCACTCTCAACAACCCCGTACTTCCCCCATGCTCCTCCCCTCTCCCGGGTGCTCATCTCCAGGTGTGGGAAGTGACGGCCAACGGCATCATCATGGTGTCAGCCATAGGCAACGACGGCCCTCTCTACGGCACGCTCAACAACCCTGCAGACCAGAACGACGTGATTGGTGTTGGAGGCATTGACTACACATTGCATATTGCCTCGTTTTCATCGAGAGGCATGACCACCTGGGAGCTACCGCATGGGTATGTGATGGGGTGGGGATCGAGGGAGATGGAACGATGTCATTGGCGTGGGCGGCATGACTACAGCCCTGTCTATGCATGGCCTAGTCAACATGCGTGGCCTAGTCAACATGCATGGTTTAGTCAACATGCATGGCCTAGTCAACGTGCACGATTTAGTCAAAATGCATGGTTTAGTCAACATGCATGGTTTAGTCAAGATGCTTGGATGGCCTAGTCAACGTGCATGGTTTAGTCAACGTGCATGGTTTAGTAAACGTGCATGGTTTAGTCAACATGCATGGTTTAGTCAACATGCATGGCCTAGTCAACGAGCATGGTTTAGTCAATGTGCATGTTTTAGTCAAAATGCATGGTTTAGTCAACGTGCATGGCCTAGACAACATGTATGGCCTAGACAACATGTCATAATTTTCTCCACATAACACACCCCCCTCCCTTCCCCACCCACCGGGCCGCCCCTTTCAGATACGGACGAATGAAGCCCGACATAGTGGCCTATGGGCGGGAGGTGGTCGGCGCGAAGATCAACGGCGGGTGCAAGAGCCTATCAGGGACGTCCGTCGCAAGCCCCGTGGTGGCCGGCGCCGTTTGTCTTCTAGCGAGCGTGGTTCCAGAAGCTGTGCGGTGGGGCCCGGGAGGGGTGCTGAACCCAGCGAGTATGAAGCAGGCGCTGGTGGAGGGAGCTGAGAGACTAAATGGGCCGAATATGTTTGAGCAAGGGGCCGGGCAACTTCATCTGTGAGTAAGGAGGGGGGGGGGGGGGAGGGGAGGGAGGTGGGCGCTGGAGGGGGTGCTGAATCCGGCGAGTATGAAGCAGGCGCTGGTGGAAGGGGCGGAGAGATTGAATGGGCCACACATGTTTGAACAGGGAGCAGGACAGCTTAACCTGTAAGTAGAGCCAGCCAGGGGCAGTGTGGTGGGGGCCAAGAGGGGTCCTGAACCCTTGCCTCCGTGTTCCTTATTCCGAACCCATGCTCCCTCCCCTCCCTCAACCCCCCCTCCCCCCCTCCCCCTCCCTCCCCTCCCCTCCACCCTTCGCTCCCACGCCACTCTAGCGAGCTACTCACCTCAAGCAAACGTCCACCCCTCTTCCCTCGACCTCACCGGCTGCCCCTACGTGTGGCCCTGGTGCCTGTTGTCCCCCCTCCCTGCTCTTCCCGACCCTCCCCCCCTCCCCGCTCTTCCCGACCCTCCCCCCCTCCCCGCTCTTCCCAACCCTCCCCCCCTCCCCGCTCTTCCCAACCCTCCCCCCCTGCCCGCTCTTCCCAACCCTCCCCCCCTCCCCGCTCTTCCCAACCCTCCCCCCCTGCCCGCTCTTCCCAACCCTCCCCCCTTGCCCGCTCTTCCCAACCCTCCCCCCCTGCCCGCTCTTCCCAACCCTCCCCCCCTGCCCGCTCTTCCCAACCCTCCCCCCCTCCCCACTCTTCCCAACCCTCCCCCCCTGCCCGCTCTTCCCAACCCTCCCCCCCTCCCCGCTCTTCCCAACCCTCCCCCCCTACCCGCTCTTCCCAACCCTCCCCCCCTGCCCGCTCTTCCCAACCCTCCCCCCTACCCGCTCTTCCCAACCCTCCCCCCCTGCCCGTCCCCTCACTCCTAGTCTTTGCTTCCACTCTGTTCTAGCGAGCTACACCCCCCGCGCCTCTGTGCATCCCTCTTCCCTGGATCTCACTGACTGCCCCCACACCTGGCCCTGATCCCTCCCTGTTGCCCCCCCACCCCCCCCCCTCCTCCCCCCAACCCCCCCTCCCCCTCCCCTCGCCGCCCCCTCCTTCCGTTCTTCCGTAACATCCCCGCCCACCCCCTTCCATTCGCTCCCACGCTGTTCTCGCGAGCTACACGCCCCGCGCCTCCATGCATCCCTCTTCCCTGGATCTCACCGACTGCCCCTACGCGTGGCTGTGGTGCCAGCAGCCTCTCTTCGCGTCTGTGCTCCCCGTCATCCTCAACGTGACGTGACTATATTGAATGTCATGGGCGTCACTGGCTGGCTCGCCAGCCCCTTCTTGACCCCTTCTTATCTGTTTCCGCACCTGTCTGTCTGTTCCTTCTCCCTCACCTCCCCTCCCCCCTACCCCACAAATACACACACCCTCCCAGCCTTCGCTCGCACGCCATTCTAGCGAGCTACACAACCCTTGAGCAAGCGTCCATCCAGCTGACTTTTGAGTCGACTCAAAATTCACCTCGTTACAATGTTACACAACCCTCGAGCCAGCGTCCATCAAGTGCACCAGACTTGACTGCCTGCCCCTGCCCATGGCCGTGGTGCCTCTTGTCCCCCCCATTCCCCCCCTTTCCCCCCCCCCCCCACCCGCCAGCCTTCGCTCCCACGCCATTCTGGCCAGCTGCACCCCTCGAGCAAGCGTCCATCCCTCTTCCCTGGATCTCACCGACTGCCCGTACGCGCGGCCCTGGTGCCGGCAGCCCCTCTTCGCCTCCGCCCTCCCCGTCATCCTCAACGTGACTATACTGAACGGCATGGGCGTCACTGGCTGGTTCACCGGCTCTTTATCAGTTTCCTTCATTCTTTCCGTCTCCCTTCCCCCCCTTTCCCTTTATATCCTACACATCCCCTCCCAGCCTCCGCTCCCATGCCATACTGGCAAGCTACACCCCGCGAGCAAGCGTGCACCCCTCCGCATTAGATCTGACCGATTGCCCCTACGCGTGGCCCTGGTGCCGGCAGCCTCTCTTCGCGTCCGCCCTCCCCGTCATCCTCAACGTGACTATTCTGAACGGCATGGGCGTCACTGGCTGGCTCGCCGGCCCGCCTGTGTGGGTGCCTGGAGAGGTCAACCTCACCAACACAGCAGCAGCAGCAGGAGCAGCAGGTTCTGGAGCAGCAGGAGCAGCAGCAGCAGGAGCAGCAGCAGCAGGAGCAGCAACTTCACCGAATTTGTCTTCTGTGTCGTCTTTTTCCTCCTCTGGTTCCCATTTTTGGGGCCGAGGAAGATTCGTCTCCACCTCCGCCTCTGCTTCTTCGGATTCGTCCAACGCTGCTGCCTCTGCTGCCGCTGCTGGCTCTTCTGCCCCCCCCTCTGCTACCTCCTCCCCCTCTATCCCCCCGCATCCTGTGCTCCATGTGCGTTTCTCCTACCCCGCTGTGCTCTGGCCGTGGTCCGGCAACCTAGGGATCTATCTACGGGTGCACCCTGCTGCCAGGCAGTTGAATGGTGAGTCCTGGGACATGGGGAATGCTTTTGAGTCGACTCATGATGGGGGGAATGCTCTTGAGTCGACTCGTGATGGGGGGAATGCTTTTGAGTCGACTCAAAAGCAGACTCATGTACGGGTTCTCCCTGCTGCAAGGCAGTTGAACGGCGAGTCCTGGGACATGGGGAACGAGTGCACTGGGATGGTGAGAGGGAAACGGGGTGCCGAGACACTTGCATGGCTCTGAGACGTCTCTTTGAATGCTTCTCAATTTATCCTAGTGCATCGCCAACTGCTCTCTGCCTCTCTGCATTGCCAGCATGCCCCCCCACTCTCATCATCCCACTCTTCTCCTGCTCTTTCTCCCTTTCCCCCCTCCGTACCCCCCCACGGCAGGCACCATATCAGGCACAATCCGCTTCACTGTGGTCTCTCCCCCTGGCCCCAACGAGACCACCCCCCGCACAACCAACTGCTCGCCGCCTCTCCGCGTTGTCATCATGCTGTCTCCTCTCCCATCATCCCCCTCCCCTCCTCTTTCTCCCCTCTCCCCCCCCCCCACCCTATCCTACCCCCCCAAGGAAGGCACCATATCAGGCATCATTCATTTCACCGTGGTATCTCCCCCCCTCCCCAATGAGACCACCCCCCGCACCACCAACTGCTCCCTGCCCCTCCATGTTGCCGTTGCTCCACTTCTCCCCTCCCCTACCCCCCCCAAGGCAGGCACCATATCAGGCACCGTTCGTTTCACCGTGGTCTCTCCCCCCGGCCCCAACGAGACCACCCACCGTACCACCAACTGCTCTCTGCCACTCCATGTTGCCATCATGCCCACGCCGCCCCGCCACCGCCGCATATTGTGGGACCAATTCCACAACGTGCGATACCCCCCGGGGTACATCCCCAGGTGAGTTTGGCGAGAGTGGATAGACCTGGGTTCTGTTCTATCCACTCATCATGCGCACGAGATGACCTTTGAGTCGACTCAAAAGTCATCAGGTGAGTTTGGGGGGAGGGCATAAATCTGGGTTCTGTTCCAGCCAATCATGTGCACTCCACCCCTCCACCACCTCCTGGGATCAGTTCCGCAATGGGGAGGCTGGTGTGGGGGTGGACCCCGCCACCACCTCCTGGGATCAGTTTGTGTGGGGGTTGTCCCCGACTCCCTGCTACCACCTCCTGGATGCATCCACCGGATATTTTTCTTCCCACCCAACCCTCCCCCCTCTTTTCTCATCCCGCTCGATATATTCTCTGGATGCGCGGAACGGCTTCCTGGATTGGCACGGGGACCACCCCCACACCAACTTTCCCGGGCTCTACTCCGTGCTGAGGGAGTGGGTTGAATGGTCTTTTGTACTATGTACTAACTTTCCTTCCTTCCCCCTCGTCTCTTCTCCCGACATCCCATATAGAGACTCCTTGGATGCGCGGAACGGCTTCCTGGATTGGCACGGGGACCACCCCCACACCAAGGTGACTTTTGAGTCGACTCAAAAGTCTCCTGGATTGGCACGGGGACCACCCTCACACCAACTTACATGGGCTCTACTGCGTGCTGTGGGAGTGGGGGTACACTCTCGAGATACGAGGGATTCACCCTGCCTCCTCCACACCGTTTCCCCACCCCTCGTCTTTCCACAAACCCACAGGGACTCCCTAGACGTGCGCAACGACATCCTGGACTGGCACGGGGACCACCCCCACACCAACTTTCACGGGCTCTACTCCGTGCTGCGGGAGTGGGGGTACACCCTTGAGGTGCTGGGCTCGCCCTTGACGTGCTTCGATGCAAGGGAGTATGGTGCTCTGCTGATGGTGGATATGGAGGAGGAGTACTACCCCGAGGAGGTGAGAGGGCCCTTGGGTTGTGCGTTGCTGTCCCCCTCCCGTCCCCTGCACTCCCCTACACAGCTACTCTACGCGTTTTCCCCACCCCCCACACTCTGTGTGACTCAGATAGCGAAACTGCACCATGAGGTCAAAACCCTTGGTCTGAGCCTGATAGTGGCGGTGGACTGGCAGTACCACATACTAGGACTGGGCCGGATTGTCGTGGCCGACTGGTACCACATGCCCACCACGAGGCACATGCGACTCGATCTTGCGTACTCCCCCTTGCTCTCCCCTCGCATGTGTCTCAGGTAACAAAGCTGCACCATGATGTCACAGCGCTAGGCTTGGGGCTCATTGTGGTGGCCGACTGGTACCATGTACCAACAATGAAGCACATGCGCTTCTTTGACGACAACACTCGCTCCTGGTGGACGCCCGCCACTGGTGAGCATGGTGGGGGGTACACGTACAAGGGATGCAAGGGTTCTGGCGACCATGTGCCATGTACCAACAATGAAGCACATGCACTTCTTTGATGACTATACCCGCTCCTGGTGGACGCCTGCCACTGATGAGCATGATGTGCATAGAGAGGAGGAGGATAGCGTGAGGTGAGGTAGACCGTAAAAGGGTGCTGTGCTGGTGGGGTGCTAAGGTGTAGTGGGACTGGAACCCGGACTGGTACCATACCATGAGGCACATGCAGCTCTTTTATAGCAACACTCGCTCCCTGTGGACACCTGCCACGTGGTATGTCCTAACCCGAATCCCTGCCTGTGCCATTCTCTCCAGAACTTTCTCAATTGCCGCCCACCGCGCTTACTTCTGTCGTTCTCGCTCCCTCTCGCCCTACTTCCCTTCCTCGGCTTCCAGGCAGAGCCAATGTCCCAGCGCTCAACGACCTTCTCTCTCCTTCTGAAATAGTCTTTGGGGGCTCCATCCTTTCTGGCACCTTCTCCATCGCCGGTCATGGCGCACATGCTGCACCGATTTTTGGCTCCCTCCCTCACTCCCCCAGGGGGAGCCAACGTCCCAGCTCTCAGCGACCTCCTTGGCCCTCTAGGCATTACCAACGTCCCAGCTCTCAGTGTTTCGTCCCCCCCCCTCTCGTTCCCAGGCAGAGCCAACGTCCCAGCTCTGAACGACCTTCTCTCTCCTTTTGAAAAAGCCTTTGAGGACTCCATTCTCTCCAGCACCTTCTCCATCGCCGGTCACCGCAATCAATCCCCGCTCGCTCTCCCTTTCTTTCTCTCACACTGCAACACCGCAGGCGGAGCCAACATCCCAGCTCTCAACGACCTTCTCTCTCCCTTTGAAATAGCCTTTGGGGACTCCATCCTTTCCGGCACCTTCTCCATCGCTGGTCACCGCGCCTATTTCGCCTCGGGAACTGACATTCGTCGCTTTCCCAAAGGAGCGTTCGTGCACCGGTTTCTGTTTAGAGATGGGTCGTCGGGACGGGGGGTTGGGGGGGAAGGAGGCGGAACGGGGGGAGGAGGAGGGGGGGGAGGAGGGGGAGAGGCGGGGGTAGGGGGAGGAGGAGGGGGAGGTGGAGGAGAGAGTGGAGGGGAGACTGGTGGGTCAATTATTTCGACAAGAGGAGGGAGGATGAAGAGTCAAGTTGAGGCTTCGGTGTTGGGGTTGGTGGAGAGGGGGGAGGGGAGAGTCGCTGTGTTTGGCGATTCGAACTGCTTAGACAGCAGTCATCTTATAAGTGACTGCTTCTGGTTGCTAAGAAAGATGCTTAAGTTTGGCACCGAGGGTAAAAAGGACCCAACGCTTTTCCACCATAGGAACGAGCTGCTGGTTGCCATGGGGCAGGCTGGGCAGGAGGACGGGCAGCTAAAAAAAAACACTCAGCAACCAAAAGATTTCCTTTCAGTGCAGCAGCAGAATCGATCTGATCTGGGCCAAGCGATTTTGGGTAGTTCAGAAGTTTTCTTGCTGCCCGAGAGGCGGACGGATGTGAACTTCACGGGCCTGTCATTGGTGCTCGGCAAGCCGCTGATGTGCGGGCAGGACTCAAAAGTTTTACGCGTGGCAGAGAGATCCAAGAAACCAGGTGGGGGGAGAAGGGATGCGTTGTGGGCGAAAGGAGGGGGAGGGGCGAGAGGTGGAGTGGTGGGAGGACGGCGAGGAAGGGGGGGGAGAAGAATAGAGGGAAGTGAGTCTGATGTGGCGGATGTGGCTGATCGGGGGGGTGTGGCTGATTCGGGGGGTGTGGCTGACAGCAGGCAGGAGGTGGAGGTGGAAGGGAAGGAGGTGGAGGTGGAGGCAGCAGCAGCGGCAGCAGCGGAGATTCAAGAGCCGACTCAAAAGACCCAGACGAATGCAATTGCAGCAGGGGCAGGGCGGGAGGGGAATGGGGAGGGTGGGGACGGGAAGGGGATTGATGGTGTGAGGTCTTCTGGTGACGTGAGAGGGACTGGTGATATGGAAGGTGGAGATGGTGAGACAGGGGGGGAAGGGGAGGGTGGGGGAGATGGTGAGAGAGGGGGGGATCGTGAGGGAGTGGGGGATGGTCAGGGAGGGGGGGATGGTGAGAGAGGGAGTGGTGGGAGTGATGCTGCTGGCTTGAGCGCTGGGTTCAGGAATACGGGTCGGCCGGGTGCGGTTGGGAGTGGTGGTGCTGCTGCAAGTGCTGGTGGCGGCAGTAGGGCTAGAATAGATGGTGATGGGAGTGATGCTGCTGCTGTGAGCGCTGGTGGCGGCAGCAGGGATAGAACAGATAGTGATGGGAGTGATGCTGCTGCTGTGAGTGCTGGTGGCGGCAGCATGGATAGAACAGATAGTGATGGGAGTGGCGGTGCTGCTACGGGTGCTGGTGGCGGCAGTAGGGCTAGAATAGATAGTGATGGGAGTGATGCTGCTGCTGTGAGCGCTGGTGGCGGCAGCATGGATAGAACAGATAGTGATGGGAGTGGCGGTGCTGCTACGGGTGCTGGTGGTGGCAGTAGGGCTAGAATAGATAGTGATGGGAGTGATGCTGCTGCTGTGAGTGCGGATGATCTGCTGCTTGCTGGAGGCAGGGAAGGGAGGGGGCGGTCAGCTGGGAGGAGCATTTGGAGGCACTGGCACGAGCGAGAGGAAGAGGTGAGAGCGAGAGGAAGTGGTGAGAGCGAGAGGAAGAGGTGAGAGTGAGAGAAAGAGGTAAATGTATTGATTAAGGATAAGGGGGATAGGGGGAGGGGGATAGAGGGATATAGGAGGAGAGGAGAGAATGACGGAGCGAGGGAAGGGAGGGGGCGGTCAGCTGGAAGGAGCATTTGGAGGTACTGGCACGAGTGAGAGGTAGAGGTGAGAGTGAGGGGAAGAAGGAGGGAGAGGGAGGGAGTGGTAAGAGAGAGGAAGAGGCGAGAGCGAGAGGCAGAGGTGAGAGTGGTTGCAGCTGCTGTATCATGGAGACAGGGGAGGGAAAGAAGGTAGTCAGCTGGGAGGAGCATTTGGAGGCACTGGCACGAGCGAGAGGAAGAGGTTAGAGTGAGATGAAGAGGTGAGAGTGAGATGTAATGGTAAGGGCGAAAGGAAAGGATGAGGGCAAGAGGAATCAGTAAGAGTGGCCGCTGCATGTCTCCTTTGTCAGATCTCACTGTGTAGCCCTCTCACTCGGTTGGTGCTGCATTCCTTCCCTGGATGCCTTCCATTCGCCTCCAACCCTCTATTCCACTCTCTCTCTCCCCCTCCCTCTCCCTCCAACCCTTCAACTCGCAACCCGTTCAACACACCACCCGTTCAACGCGCAACCCATTCACCTCGCAACCCATTCACCGCGCAACCATCCGTTCACCACCCGTCCACCCGTTCGGCGCACTACCATCTGCACAGCTTGACGCATTCTTCCCCATCATGGCCGTTGCATCTGGTAACTTATTTGCCTCTCCTCCCTGCTGCTTTCCGTTAGTACCTTGATCTTCCATACAAAAACCCGTTTCTAACCATGTACTTTGCCTCATTATCAACCCCGTTTTCAAGCATATTCTTGTACCTTGTACCTTGTTTCATTCCCCGCGTTTTGTTCTCTCGCGTGCTTTGCTTAGTTTACCTGCTTCTTTACAATGTGCTCCCTTCTTGTGCTATACATTTGCTTCTCCTCTAGACTTCGTAATTATCACACCATGTGCACTACGTTGTGTTCTTGTCTGTCCTTGTCTGCTGTTTTATCCCACCCAATTGTCCTTATGCAGGATTCATAATTCTATTTGGTTTGTGGAGATTTCGACAAAAAAGTCGCAGGAAACCAAGGACGAGAAGACTATAGCGTTGAGCATAGCCCTAATTTAGTAGAGCATAGCCCTGATTTGGATTGTTGGAAGTCATGGGGGATTATAAAAAAAAAGCTCACAGGAAAAAGACTACGAATAGCAAATGGCTTGGCTTTTGCAAGCAAATGATACTTGTACTGTTGGGCTGAGAAAAAGCCCTTAGGATCTTTCAGAGACTAAGTCCCAGTTGTGCAAGATACTTGAGTAGTGCAGCGGAAGTTGAGTAGTTGAACCCTTGCACTAGTATGTGAGAGCAAGTGATTGATTAAAGAAACAAGCATACAGCAATATATAGAAAGTAGGAAAGTAAAGCAGATGTAGAATACAGTTAAAAGAGCTGTTTATCGAGTCGCACAGCGACTCGATTGACGGTTCTGTTACCATCCTTGCAGTTGTAATGGCCAGTCGCAACCTCCGGTTGCGACCCTTCGAGTCCTTTCGTGTTCTTTGTCCGTCCCCTCGTGTAACCTCCGTTGACTCGCGTACCCGTTACGACTTTCCTCGAGTGTAGTGTTACACTTCAGAAACGCTTAAGCCCTTGAGATATTTCCAACACTCCCCTTCGTTTCTGGAGTGCTGACGTGTCCAGATTCGGCGACGTTTATCTGCCCGGTCAGTAGCATGCAGTAGTCGAACTTTGTTTTCGCTAGTTTCTTCGTCAGGTAGTCTGCAGCCATTTCTGTCGTGGGGCAGTACCTGAGTTGAAGTCTCCCCTTCGCGATTTCATCATTGACGAAGAAATACCGCAGGGCGATGTGTTTGGTTCGGTTGGCGAAACCGTCTTTGTTCGCGATTTTGATCGCGGATTGGTTGTCGCAGAAGAGTGAGAAGAAGGGCAGGGTTGCAATCTTTGCTTCCTCGAGTAACTCTCGCAGGTAAAGTCCTTCCTTGATCGCAGTGCAGAGGGCGATATATTCTGCTTCAGCCGAAGATAGTGCGATTAGTTCCTGCTTGCTCGACTGCCAGGAGATAGTCCCGATAGACTCTAGTCGGTAGATGTAGCCCGTCCTTGATCGTCGATTTTCCCTGTCTCCCGCGTGGTCGGCGTCGACGTATCCGAGCAGTTGTACGGACGATGTCGTTGCTTTACTGTAGGTAAGTCCGGTCGTCGGCGTTGAGACGAAGTAGAGTAGTGCCCGATTTAATTCCTCGAGATCTTCTTGTTCGGGCTGCTTCAGATGCGTCGCCAGTTGGCTCGCGCTGTAAGATAGGTCCGGTCGGCAGGTTACTGCTGCGAATAGTAGGCAGCCGAGCTTCTGCTGATACTCCTGGATTTGCTTCGCGGGGAGTTTTGCGGAGGTGTCGTTGTTGTTCCCGTAGCGGTAGGGAGTCGTCACTGTAGTCGGTGTTAGTCCGAATTTCTTCGCGACAACACCTGCGTATTTTCCAGCGTAAAGGTAGAACGCCGAGTTGTCTTCGACGACGTTCAGACCCAGGTACTGGGTCACGGTGTTAGACACCGTGAGTGTCAAGTCAGTTCTCAGCTCCCCTTCGAACCAGGTGGCGATGTCGGTAGTAGAGCCGATGTAGAGCAGGTCGTCGACATAGACGATGAGTAGGATAAAGTCCCTTTCCTTCTGAAGTCGGTACATGCCTTGGTCGTGCGGCAACTGTAGGAACCCGATTCCGACGAGGCGACCGTGAAGATGCTGCTGCCAGAGCCGCGGAGCTTGCTTGATCCCGTAGAGGGATTTTATCAGCTGGCATAATTTTGTGGGGTCGTCGATGAATCCGTGGGGCTGCTTGACGAAGATCTCGGCGTCCACAGGTGCGTACAGGAAGGCGTTTGCGACGTCGATCTGGCGCAGTGGTAGTTTCTTCGTGGCCGCGACGGCGAGTAGAATGCGCAAGGAGGTGTGACGGGAGACTGGGGCGAATGTTTCTGTGTAGTCGGTTCCGTATCGTTGATCGAATCCTCGTACGACCCAACGAGCCTTGAATCGTTCGATGGAGCCGTCCGCATTGGTCTTGATGCGGTACACCCACTTTCCCGAGAGTACGTTCTTCCCGTTGATGTTTGTTGCAGGTACCAGCTTCCATGTATTTCGGTCTTGCAGAGCTTTCAGTTCCTTTTCCATTGCCTCCTTCCATTTCGCCTTATGTTCCCCCCCCAGAGCCTGTGACAGAGTCGTTGGCTCGCGCGGAGATGGCGGCGGCGGTTGCTGGACGGAGACCCATAAGCCGAGTATCTGCAGTCCTGTGGGTGTGTGTCGAGGGGAATTTTCATTCCCGGAATAGGCTGCTTCGTCACCATCTTCTGGATCGGGTAAGAAGTTTGGGCCGATGCGTTCTGAGACATTCGTGTCGACCGGGTGAGGTGTAACGTAACCTTGGTTAGCGAAGTGGTAAAGGGTGTCGAGGTTGTTGCTATCGAGAGGATTGTCTTCGTCGAGTGGAACAGGCACGGAACAGTAAGGGAGTGGTCCGGCAGCTTCCGAAGCTCCAGGTACGTCTTCTTCTGCTGCGTCAGCCTCGGCAGCACGGTCGGCGAAGGAGCGAAGGCCCGCGAAGCCGTCGGTGGGGTCGTCTGTGTTGGCGACGTTGTCCAGGTAATGCTGCAGCGTCAATCGTTCGTAGAAGATCACATCACGTGATGCCACGGTATTTTTGTCTTATGTGTCGAGGATTTTCCATGCGTGAAAATGTTTTGCGATGCCGAGGTGTAATCCCCACCGTGCTCGTTGAGTGAAGCGTCCTGCTCGGGCTGTGTGGGGTCTGTACTGTACCATGCAGTCGAAAACCCGAAGTAATTTTGTGCTGCCCCTTTTTCTTGTCCACAGCAGGTGCGGTGATGCGTTGTTGGGAAGCAAGGACGAGGACAACAAATTGTGCAGATGGACTGCATGTGTCATCGCGTCTGGCCACAGTGTATTGGGCAGTCTCATCCCTAGGAGCAGCTCCCGCATCGTCGTCTGCAAGGTCCGGTTCATTCGTTCTGCGACCCCTTGCTGCTGGTGAGCGTAGGGCAGAGACACTAGGCGTCTGATTCCTCTTTCTGCCAAGTAGGTCCTGAATCGTTGTGAGTGGTATTCCAGTGCGCCGTCTGACTGGAAGCTCTAGAGCTTAGTTCCAGATTCTCGTTCAGCGATGGGGAGCCACGTCGTGAAGGCTTCGAAAGCTTGATCTCGCGTCTTGAGGTTGTAGTGCCAAACATATCTTGTTGCTCCATCGATGAACGTGATGACATAGTTGAAATCGGCTTCAGTGTCGTCTCGAGGCATGTTTAAGATGTCGCTGTAAACTTTTCCCATCGGTGCGTATGCAGGTGCACTTGGATTGTGATGTGATGGAAAAGATTGGTGGGGAAGATCTGCTTCGGGGCACGTGAAGCACCGTGCGCGAGGTCGTCGAAGTTCTTGGCCGCTCGTTGTAGGAAGAGCGTTTCGTTCTAACACTTCGGCTTGGATGGTTTGTAGTACCGTGCTGTTTGCAGGATGCCCAAGGCGTTGGTGACAGATGTCGTCGGAGGCGCGATGGCCGGGCGAGCGTTGGTACATGTCGGTGTTGGAGAAGAACGCGACGACCATGGCGGGACTTTGGCAGACTTCTCGTGTGATGGGCATTAGCTGATCTGCTTCGGTTGGCGGTCCTCGGATCGCTGGTGATGGTGCTCGGCTGGGTCCTGCTGCTGCTACTGCAGGTGATGTTTGGGAAGGGACGCTTGCTGGTACTTGTCTTTCTTGTCAGATGACTACTAACGCTTGTGTTCTCTCTGCTGCAGGTATGGTGTTGGAGTACCAGAATCCATCTGGGGTGAAGTCGGGGTAAAGATCTGGCGGGTGCGTCCAAGCGGCGAACGACACGATGCCATCGCTGTCGGCAGTACCGCGGTCGGGGACGAAATCCAACACGAAGACGTCTGACTTCAGGAGAGCGCGACCAATGAAGAGACCGCCCTTCCCGTGGTAAAGGCGAAATTCGTTGGAGTGTGAGTCGCATTCCAGGTGAATCTCTTTTGCCATTAACTGGCTGACGCTGAGTAAGTTGTATCCCAAATTGTCGACGATGAGAACTTTGTTGAGTTGCAGTATAACGTTTGTCTCCATGGACTGTAACTGAACCACTCCTTGTCTGTTTGTTTTTAGGTTCTCGTTGTTGGCGACGGTGATGATGACATCTTGGTTGAGACGTCGTTCTCGTTGCACGAAGCGCCTGGAAGAACACATATGTTGGTCGCAACAGCTGTCCAAGAACCAAGTGTTTCGCCTGGTGGGTTCGGCGTTGGCAACTGCAGCGTATGTTGGGTTGACCTGAAGTCCTTGTGAGCGCGGCGGTGACAGTTCTTCTTCATCTGGAGCATAAGTGGGCGGTGATCCGGGTGCGCAATTGTCGATGTGTACCATGCAGTTGATGATGTTCGGTGTACCTTGTGCAGATGTGGAGGAGCGCCTCGGCGGGCCTTCTTGAGTGGAGGCGACTTGTGGGTCTACTGGACAATAAGCTCGGGGACGTGTGCAGTTGACTTTGGAGTGTCCGGATGTTTGGCAGTTGTGGCAGAACGGCGGCACAATGGTGAGTCCTCTGTTGTCGCGTTGATCTTGTTTGCCACGTCGGTTGTAGTTGTTGTCGTTCCTTCGTTGAGTGTAGAAGACTAATGGTTGCTGTTTCCTTGGTTGCCTTTCTTCGAACAGGTCCATCTCCTGTTGTTCAGCATGGAGCTCGGCGCAGAGGTGCATCTCCGAGATTCGTCCGTGGGCACGAAGGAGCAAGCGGGTGGTTCTCCATTCTGGCCCGAGCCCAGCGAGGACAAGTGTCACGAAGCTTTCTTCAGTGATTGTTCCTCCGCACCGAAGCAGGCGGTCGCGGAGTGTCTGGCATCGACTCATATACTGCATCGCCTTTTCCCCGGTCTTCATCTGTATTGTTGTTAGCTGTTGCATGAGTCTGCTTTGTGTCACGCTGTCGTTTGCTTGATAGAGACACTTGAGGTGATGCCATGCGAGTTCCGCGGAGTTTCCATAGCTCCGATACGTTTTGATGCTTTGCTGTTCTTGTGGTGACAGGTTCCGCAAGAGAACTGTGTACGCCAGCAGCGATTGATACGTGAAAATTTCTTGCTCTTTTGTAGTGCCGTTGCTTGGGAATGGCAGGGACCCGTTGAGGTATCCCAAGAGATGTGCAGCCTCCATCAGCAGCTCGAACTCAAAGCTCTAGGTAAAAAAGTCGTGTCCGTTGAACGGTGAGGATGTCTGCAGTTTAATTACATGTGAAAACTGCGCCTGGAGACTGTTGTGATGAAGCTGCTGTTGGTTGGGCACGGGGCGGCATGAACTCGAACGTCCCCGGTGAAGAGTGATAAGGCGCAAAGGTAGGTGCTTGATTGTGTCCCAAACGATGAGTTGTCGAGGCTCATCGGCGCTAATCCCATGTTTCCTCCGTTGCTCTGTGTTGAATGTGCAGGTGTCCTTGTCTGCTGCTGCTGGTCGAAGTGCGACATGAAGCTGAAGAACCTTTCCATAAGGTTCGGGTCCACGCTTGAGGAGGGTGATGGGGTCACCATTTCTGGTGCTCTTCCTGTTGTTTCTTGAGCAGCGCCGGTCTCGGTTTGCAGTCCTGAAGTGTGCAGTCCAGAGTTGCCGGGTTGAGTGTCTTGGGCACTGGGTGAGCCCGTAGAGGTTTTCTTGCCCTTGCTGTCCATGACTTGTAATCAATGAAGTCGTTGGTGTGCTGATTGTAGATAGAGCGTAGTTGCTGGGAGTTTGGTCCCTGACCAGCTCTCATACCATGTTGGGCTGAGAAAAAGCCCTTAGGATCTTTCAGAGACTAAGTCCCAGTTGTGCAAGATTCTTGAGTAGTGCAGCGGAAGTTGAGTAGTTGAACCCTTGCACTAGTATGTGAGAGCAAGTGATTGATTAAAAGAAACAAGCATACAACAATATATAGAAAGTAGGAAAGTAAAGTAGTTGTAGAATACAGTTAAAAGAGTGGTTTATCGAGTCGCATAGCGACTCGATTGACGATTCTGTTACCATCCTTGCAGTTGTAACGGTCAGTCGCAACCTCCGGTTGCGACCCTTCGAGTCCTTTCGTGTTCTTTGTCCGTCCCCTCGTGTAACCTCCGTTGACTCGCGTACCCGTTACGGCTTTCCTCGAGTGTAGTGTTACACTTCAGAAACGCTTAAGTCCTTGAGATATTTCCAACATGTACCATTTCCGTACAATGTAAGTGCATGGATATTTGACAGGTATTTTGGCCCAAAAGGACAGGAGAGCTGAACGGGAGATGGATGCCCCGTTTCGCTGCGTTCGCCCCACCGTTGAGCCTGTGAAGTTTCATTCCGGTTGCCCCCCTTTTTTTAACATAGACTCCTCAACAGCAGAGAACACATGGATTTGAAACTGTTACTGAAGTTTACTATCATTCGCAGGCTTCGCTAATGCGAAAAACACTTATTCAAACTATGAGGAGGTCATTGGGTATTTCCTCACTTCGTTGGGATTGGCGAATGACTTGGGTTTAAGGTTTTATTTCGGTCGTAACCGGGACAGATATACAGTGCACGAAAGCATATAGCCATTACCTAACTACCCTAAAGGGAGCACGTATAACACTTTATGCCTCTGACCGAAGACAGCAGGGGCGGGAAGCACCTGTGCTGAACTGTATGAGGATATGAAGGGACAAATAAGCTAAGGAGGGCGGAGGGGGTTATTGAGCAGCCACAAATTTTTATGCTCCGGATGAAGATGGAACTGATTATCCTCAGAGCGGGAGAGCAACCGGAACTTGATAACGTATGAAATCCGTGACAGGGAGCGGCGATGCTTCTTGATAGACTGTCCGGCGCTCGGCCAGCAGAAAATTTTCCAAGCTAAGAGAAAGGCTGTGAGAACCGATTGAAGAGCCTCCATAATGTTGATTGGTGCATCGCTGAACTTTCTGGCACAACGGAAATTCCATATTGTTTTGGCAGCTGCCCCCACCAGGAGACTCCATGGGGCAACGTGGCCGGCCTGGGTTTGAAGAGGAAACAAGGACAGCTCCGAAGATACGGAAACACCAGGGTGGCGGTGAGCGACACGCTGAAGAGCAGAGGTCACAGCACCGGCGACACCGCATTAAAATACTATGTGTGAAATGGATTCAACGGCTCCAAAGGTGCAGCAGGTGCAGATGCCTCTGTCAGTGGCAGAAGTGAAGCGGGAGCCGGATGGGAGTGACCGAGAGTAAAAGCGGTAAAGGAGGCCGCATTGCAAGCATGGTTGTTCTTTGAGGAAGTTATGGGAGAAGTCAGGAGCTATACGAGGAGGAGAGGAAGGAAGAGTCGAAGACCAGCGGCTGAATTGATTGAGTGGCCGTTGCACGTAGAGCAGACCGCGAATGTGGGCCAGGGAAGGCAGACCGTCGTTCAGAACCTCCAGGTGCGCCCCTAAACCAGCTCCTACGCAGAAGGCCCCTGCATACCACCTGTCCTGTACGTGCACTGTAATTACGGAAGAGCGGGGGAGAGATGGGGTGGCATGATGGTCTTTGGCAATTCTCCCGTCGGTGTCCACAAGGAAGGCTCGGGTTGAGACAGAGGAGGAGGAGGGGACGCTGGTAATGAGGTATACAGAATCGGGATAAGGAGGGGACTGTGATAGAGTGAACAATCCAATCACCGATCCAGAGTGGAGGAGAGGGGGGGGAGAAGGAAAGCAAGGCTATCCACCAGGAGACTGGAATGGCAGCGGAAATGGTATGTAGGATTCTGCCGCCACCAGGGAATATGGCTGGAGGGAAGGCTAGATGGAGTTCAGCCAGGGATGCAGGGCGAGCACCAAAGCTGTCCATTCGTACGAGGTGGCCCACACGGAGCTGAGGATGCAAATTGTTCCTTCTTCCTGGGTTTGAAGGGCAGACCATTTGGTCTAAGGAGAAGATGATTAAAGGCGAGCAGCTCGGCGAGTATACACAACGGGTCAAGTCAAGTAGGGTCGAGGGCCAGGAAACTGCGTAATTCGGCAAGGACTCGAGACAGAATAGAAGGAGGAAGGTGCCGAAGAATGTCTGGATGGAGGAGGAAGGAGTGCAGACCAAAAGGAAGAGGCACACAGACATGAGTAACTGTTTCAAAGCAAGAGAGCCCAAATCGGCGGAGAGCACGTTGAATGTTCAGCTCCGAGAATTGTAGCGTTGGCTCAATAGCTCCCCCGCCGTCAAGTTGAGGTTGGTTGTACAGTGCACTTTGAGAGACTAGACGGAGGTCAAGGCCGTGTTGTCAAAAGCGAGACGCAGAAAGAAAGTTCCCTATGGTTTGATTTATATGGGCACGGATGTCACTAGGCACTGGTTGGAAACGACTAGGAAAAGAGGAAACCGAGAGAAGGCATTCGGAAGAGAGGTTTTTATGGCAAGAGGTAGTAGGTTTGAGGCTTGAAAGGTACCAATGTTCTGAAGACGAGCAAGAGTTGTATCCCACGTAGTAGCTCCAGGGGATCCCAGCTCGACATAAATGCCAAGAATACGCTCTGCCTCATTGGTGGTCCTGATGGGAATGGGGCTAGCATTGGTGATGGAAGCTAAGGGTATATTGAAGGGGATAATTGAGCATTTGTTCCAGTTGGGGAAATCTCCAGAAACAGAGGCGAACGAAAGAAGTTGAGAAGTCGCGGTAGAGAGCTCTGAATCCGAATTGAGGAAAATAGTGACATCATCAGCGTAGACAACCATGAGGCGTCGTTGGGTGGGGGATACAGCAAAACCGGGAATGAAGGAAGACATATAACGGTGGAAATTTTCAATCACGCAAACGAACAAAAGGGGGGCCAGAAGGCACCCCTGGTGAACACCTGAGATGACAGGGAAGACACGGCTAGAGAGGTTGTTAACAGAGAAGCATGTAGAAGTATTAGAATGCATGTACAGTGGCGGAATAAATTGCCCGGATGTTTAACACTTTGAAACGTATCGCTATGACACACATGTTTTGAAAATAGTAACACCCGTTTTTTGCCACTCTGTTACAAGGTTTTCGAGTTCTGCTTCAACCGTTTCTTGCTTGGCGCGATTGTGACACAACCGGAAAGTGGGGTTGAAATTTACTCCTCGACTATCGATGCGGACATTTCCTACCGAGCGGAAGAGTAGATATATTTTCCCCCGTCACTCGGTGTGTACATCGTCACGCGCAACAGTTGCTGGCTTAGGAGCTAGTCTGGAAGCGAGCCTACGACCGCATCGCCATGAAGCCGTTAAATGAGCGGAAGCGCGCACAAAACATAAGCATGTTGCGTGCGGGGCATTCGACTAGGAAAATAGGCAAAGTTCTTGGCATATGCAAGAGCACCGTGCACGATTACGGTTTGAAAGTGGGTGCCGAGACTAGTCTCGAGGAGGTGCGACCTACGATGCCTTCGGCCGGCCGCCCCCGCTTAATCACTACCCGTCTCCAGTACGGAATAATACGCGCGATTACAAGCGGTGAGGCAAAAGCTTAGTAGACGCGGCAAATATGTTGTTGGAGAAGCACGATCTCGCCGTAGACTTGAAGACGGTCAGGAACTCATTACGATCCGCGGGGCTGATCGCCGTGCATCAGCCCAAGAAACCCAGGCTCTCACCGAAAAACATCCGAGATCGTCTCGACTTTGCGCGGTCGCATGCCGACTGGACGCTGGAGGACTGGAAGCGGGTGATTTGGTCTGACGAAACAAAGATAAACCGCTACTGCTCCGACGGACATGCGTACGCCTGGATTCGCGAGGGCACCAGCCTTCGGAGCCATCAAGTCCAACAGACAGTAAAGCATGGGGGCGGTTCTGTGATGGTGTGGGGTTGCATGACGTATGAGGGGGCGGGGTTCATGTGCAAGATAGATGGCAGGATGGATGGGCCGCTGTATCGCAGCATCTTGCAAGATGAGCTCAAACAGACCATCGATTTTTTCAAGCTTTCCCCCTCAGAGGTCATTTTCCTGCACGACAATGATCCCAAGCACAGGTCTCGTCTGGTCCAAGACTGGCTTGGGGAGCAGGAGTACGCGGTGCTGGAATGGCCGTCGTGCTCCCCGGACCTTAACCCGATTGAGCACCTGTGGGCACACTTGAAAAGGCAGCTGGGGAAGTACGAAAAGCCGCCAAGTGGAATGCTTGAGCTGTGGGAGAGGGTGCAGGAGGAATGGGACAAGATATTCCGCCAGAGGGTGCACTAATCAAAATGCCAAAAAAGGCTGAACATGTGGACAATTTATTCCGCCACTGTAGCTGACATATGCGTTCCTGGAGATGAGACATTGTGGTAGCGACACGTCGTCGTTCATGGTTGGAGAAGGATTTGAGATTATTCACTAACCTTCGTTTCCAAAGGTCCCAACCTCGAATGACTTGTGGGCCTATACATTATCGTGGGGAACTTCGTGCGTCGATTGGGAGTTTGACAATTGTACTTTCACTGGCGCGCACTCCTTTCCTTCCAATCGATTTTGCCTGGCCGGAACTAACAAACACGCAGAAATAATGGACAAAGCATGCGGAAATGAGATTTCACTCCTACTGTACTGAGCATTT